ACTACTACTGACAGATTATTACCTCATCCCCCGTATCAAACAGGGGTCTTACTACCTGACCAGATTATTACCTCAATACCCCTATCTAACAGGGGGTCTACTACCTGGGACAGCTTATTACCTCATCCCCTTGATCGAACAGGGTCTACTACCTGACCAGATTCTTACCTCATCCCCCTTATTAACCGGGTTACTCTGACCAAGATTATTTACCTCATCCCCCTTATCTAAACAGGGGTACTACTTGACCAGAGTATTACCTCATTCCCCTTATCTAACAGGGTCTACTACCTGACCAGATTATTCCTCATACCCTTATCTAACAGGGTCTACTACTTGACCAGATATTACTCATCCCCCTGGAGCTAACAGGGTCTACTACCTGACCAGATTATTACCTCATCCACCGTATCTAACAGGTATACTACCCTGACCCAGATTATTACTCATCCCCTTATCTAAACAGGGGTCTACTACTACTACCTGACCAGATTATACCTCATCCCCCTTATTTCTAAACAGGGTCTACTACTGACAGATTATTACCTCTTCCCCCTTATCTAACAGGGGTCTACTAAATGAACAGATATTTACCTCATCCCCCTATCTAAACAGGGTCTACTACTACTACTGACCAGAAACATGACTATCCCCCTAATCTACAGGGTCTATACCCTGACCAGATTATTCCTCTCCCCTTATCTAACAGGGTCTACTACCGACCCAGATTAATTACCTCATCCCCCTTATTCTAACAGGGTCTCTATTACTACGACCAGAATTACCTTCACCCCTTATCTAACAGGGTCTACTATTACTACCTGACCGATTATGACACTCATCCCCCCTGATCTAACAGGGTCTATCTACTGACCAGATTATGACATCATCCCCTTATCTAAAGGGTACTACTACTTACCTGACCAGATATTGACCTCATCCCCCTTATCAACAGGGTCTACACTACTACTGACCAGATTAGTACCTCATACCAGTTTTTCATCTAACAGGGTCTACAATACTGGACCAGATTTATGACCTCATCCCCCTTACTAACGGGTTTCTACTACTACCTGACCGATTATTATCATCCCCCTTATCTAACAGGTCTACTACTACTACCTGACCAGATATGACATCATCCACCTTATTAAAAACGTCTACTACCTGACAGATATGACCTCATCCCCCTTATCTAACAGGGTCTACTTACTAACTACTGCACCGATTATTACCTCATCCCCTATCTAACAGGGGTCTCTACACTAACTGACCAGATTATTACCTCACCCCCGTATCTACAGGGTCTTACTACCTGGAACCAGATTATTAACACTCATCCCCTTATCTAACAGGGGTCTACTACTGACCAGATTAGTACTCATCCCCCTTATCTTAACAGGGGGGGTCTACTACCTGACCAGATTATTACATCATCCCCCTTATCTAACAGGGTCTACTACATACATGACCAGATTATTACATCATCCCCGTTATTCACAGGTCTACTACATGACCAGATTATTTACTCATCCCATAATTCTAACAGGGTCTTACTACGACTACCTGACAAGATTATTACCTCATCCCCCTTATCTAACAGGGTCTAGTACTCCACACGACCAGATATGACCTCTCCCCTTATCTAACGGGTCTACTACCTGACAGATATGACTAATCCCCTTATCTAACAAGTCACTAACATGACCAGATTATGACCTCATCCCCTTATCTAACAGGGTCTACTACTACTACCCTGACCAGATTATTACCTCATCCCCATTATCTAACAGGGTCTACTACTAACTACCTGACCAGATTATTACTCATCCCCTATCTAACAGGGTCTACTACCTGACAGATTATACCTAATCCCCTTAATCTAACAGGGTCTACTACCTGACCCGGATTATTACCTATCCCCCTTATCAACAGGGTCTATACCTGACCAGGAATACATCATTCCCCTTATCTAACAGGGTGGGTCTACTACCTGACCAGATTATTACCTCATCCACCTTATCTAAAGGGTCTACTACCTGACCAGATTATTTACCTCATCCCCTAATCTACACAGGGGTCTATAATACTACTAACCTGGACCCAGATATTACATCATCCCCCTATCGAACAGTGTCTTACTACTACTACTGACCAGATTATTACCTCATCCCCCTTATCTAACAGGGTCACTACCTGACCAGATTATGTACATCATCCCCCTTATCTACCAGGGTCTTACTACCTGACCAGATTAGAACCTCATCCCCCTTATTAACAGGGTATACTACTACTACCTGACCAGATTATTACGCTCATCCCCCTTATCTAACAGGTATACGACTACTACCTGACCAGATTATTACCTCATCCCCTATCTACAGGGTCTAATAAGGACCAGAGTATACCTCATCACCCTTATCTTAACAGGGTCTACTACGGACCAGATGGTTTACCTCATCCCCCTTATCTAAACAGGTCTACTACCGACCAGATTAACCATCATCCCCCTTATCTAACAGGAGTTACTACTGACCAGATTATTACCTCATCCCCCTTATCGAACAGGGTCTCTACTGCCAGATTATTACTATCCCCCTAATCTAACAGGGTTACTACTACTACATGACCATGATTATTACCTATTCCCCCTTATTCTAACCGGGTCTACTACTACTACTGACCAGATATACCTCATCACCTTATCTTAAGGGTTACTACCTACCGATTATTACATCCATCCCCTTATCTAACAGGGTCTACTACCTGGACAGATTATTACCTCATCCCCAGTATCTAACCAGGGTATAATACTACTACTGGACCAGATTATTATGACCTCATCCCCTTATCTAACAGGCGTTCTAATAAGTGAACTACCTGACCAGATTATTACCCATCCCCCTTATCTAACAGGGTCTACGACCTGCCAGATTTATTACCTCATTCCCCCTATCTAACAGGTCTACTACTGACCAGATTATTACTCATCCCTTAATTCTAACAGGTCTCTATACTACCTGACCAGATTATTACCTCATCCCCTATCTAACAGGGTCTACTACTCTGACCGATTATTCCTCATCCCCCTTATTAACAGGGTCTACTACCCACCTGACCAGATTATGACTCATCCCCCTTATCTAAAGGGTTACTACTACACCGGACCAGATTATTCCTCATCACCTTATCTACAGGGTTACTAACTACTACCTGACCAGATTATACTCATTCCCCCTTATCTAACAGGGTCAATGCCTCCACTACACACTCCCACCCGCATCCTGCTAACCTCTCCCTTCCCCTTTGCCCTCCCCTCCTCAAGCCACATCCTACACTTACCTATCTTATTCCATCCTAATTCCCTCCCCTACGCCTTATTTTCTAGTTGGGCTACCCCCCTCTTGTCTCATACTACTGTCTACTTCTCTCCTCTTTAGCAAGCAAAATTAAGCCTTTCCCGTCCCTACCCGGCCTCACCCTCCGTTTCGACTTACCTGACAGATATATTACCTTCATCCCCCTTACCTAACAGGGGTCTACTACCTGACCAGATTATTACCTCTCCCCCTATCTAACAGGGCTACTATACTCCTGACCAGATTATACCTCATCCCCTAATATAAACAGGGTCTATACTACCCACAGACCAGATTATTACCTCATACCCCTTATATAACAGGGTCTACTACCTGACAGATTTATGAACTATCCCCTTTATCTAACCAGGGGTATATACTCTACCTGACCAGATTATTGACCTCATCCCCTTAGTTAAAAGGGTTCTACAAATACTACCAACCTGACAAGATTATTACCTCATCCCCCGTACTAACAAGGGGTCTACACCTGACCAGATTATTTACATCATCCCCCTATCTACAGGGTCGTCTACTACCTGACCAGATATCCCTCATCCCCCTATCAACAGGGTACTACGCTGACCAGATTATTACCTCCATCCCACTTAGCTAACAGGGTCTACACCTGACCAGGTATTACCTCATCCCACTTATCTAACAGGGTCTACTACCTGACAGCTTATTACCTCATCCACTTATCTAACAGGTCTATACCTGACCAGATTATTACCTCATCCCCCTTATCTAACAGGGTCTACTACCTGACCAGATTATTACCTCATCCCCCTTATCTAACAGGGTCTACTACTACCACCTGACCAGATTATTACCTCATCCCCCTTATCTAACAGGGTCTACTACTACCACCTGACCAGATTATTACCTCATCCCCCTTATCTAACAGGGTCTACTACTACCACCTGACCAGATTATTACCTCATCCCCCTATCTAACAGGGTCTACTACCTGACCAGATTATTACCTCCATCCCCCTTATCTAACAGGGTCTACTACTACCACCTGACCAGATTATTACCTCATCTCCCTAATCTAACAGGGTCTACTACCTGACCAGATTATTACCTCATCCCCCTAATCTAACAGGGTCTACTACCTGACCAGATTATTACCTCATCCCCCTTATCTAACAGGGTCTACTACCTGACCAGATTATTACCTCATCCCCCTTATCTAACAGGGTCTACTACCTGACCAGATTATTACCTCATCCCCCTTATCTAACAGGGTCTACTACCTGACCAGATGATTATCTAAGAGGTATGGCCTTGGGCACAGTGTTGCCTGTATGATGCTGTGTATGTTCAAGTGATGTAATAAGTATGATTACTGTATGTGCCGTTTGTGGGTGTAGGGAGGCTGGGCTAGAGGCAGAACAAGTCAGACAACAGCGCAAGGTAGACAGTAGGGTCTGGATAGAGGTATCTGCTAAATTACTATACAGAAACAACCTTGCCAAACAAACACCTAGCCATTTTGTCAAGATGTTCGGATCTCTTGGGTTAACAGTTGCCCGACCAGGGTTTGAGTCCTGTTCAATGTTACACCCCACCAACCCCCCCCTGCAACAGTATATCCTTACCTGACAGGTATGGCCTTGGACACAGCATTGTTGACTAGGTTGTTGTGCTGCTGGTACTTGGGACCCCTGTTGTCCATGGTGCGTGTGAACGTGTCCAGCCCACTGTCGTGGTCCAGAGGCTGAGGGGACAGCGGTGGCTTGGTACTGCTGTTGTTGTTGTTGACCACGCTGGGTTTGGGGATGCTGCTACTGATCAGGAGGTCTGTCTTCCCACTGTCGTTGGGGAGGAGGTTGTGGTTGAACTTGGGGCTCTCAAACTTCCTCTCAAAGGGCCGGGCCGAGGAGGTGTAAGGCTTGGGGACGTAGCGGTTGTAGCTTTGTGGGGTGGGGGTGGTTCCAGGGGTTTTGGGGGGTGCGTCAGTGCCGTTGACCCCCACTGGGGACCTCTGGGCCAGGTAGGGCTGGGAAGGGGGGTCCTGGAGGACAGGGGGGCGGAGACCAGAGAGGTCAGGTTTTGGAGAGGAGCTGAGGAGCTGGTCGGGGTGTGAGGTCACTGGGGAGAGAGGGAAAAGGACGTGAGCACCTACATACAGCCAGAGGTTTACTAAACTATTACACTTAAAGAAGACGTCAACATAATTCTAAGTACTTTTCGCACTGCTCTTTGTTTTATCAAACGTAACACTATCTTTGAAGGGAGGTGGCTCCACTAATATTAGATAATACTAAGTGTTACATTAAGGGTGGAGACTAACTGCCTCGCTATTGAGATCCCCTGAGACATGTGGCTGTCTGTTCTTACCTTCGTTGGTGATGAGTTTGGGCAGGCTGTTGGGCGGTACGGCAGGGCCGGGGGGTCCGTACTGAGACACAGGGCTGATCTGGGGGAGGGGGTCGTACCTCTTCTCCACCGGACTCACCTTCTCCACAGACTCCGCCCTGAAGCACAGACACAACACAGGGTGTGTTTAAGATCAACTACGTCACAGTCGATTTTGGGCAGAATCACTTAATCTACAAATCAATGTCACCTTGAATTCCCCAATAACTCATTATGTGTTCAAGATTAGCAGTTCTGACTCAGGACTTGATCCTCTCAAACGCGGTCAGCCTGACTTATTGATTGAACCTATCCTCTCAGATCTACAGTACACATGCCTTGGGGCTAGGTGTTGATTTGGGTAGGGTTGTGGGGGTAAGCCAGCTGGGCCTGCTGGAAAGGAAATGGTTCTAGGGATTATGGGTAGTGTAGTTTACCAGGTGTAGGGGTTATGGGTAGTGTAGTTTACCTGTTGTAGGGGTTATGGGTAGTGTAGTGTACCTGTTGTAGGGGTTCTGGGTAGTGTAGTGTACCTGTTGTAGGGGTTCTGGGTAGTGTAGTGTACCTGTTGTAGGGGTTCTGGGTAGTGTAGTGTACCTGTTGTAGGGGTTCTGGGTAGTGTAGTGTACCTGTTGTAGGGGTTCTGGGTAGTGTAGTGTACCTGTTGTAGGGGTTCTGGGTAGTGTAGTGTACATGTTGTAGGGGTTCTGGGTAGTGTAGTGTACCTGTTGTAGGGGTTCTGGGTAGTGTAGTGTACCTGTTGTAGGGGTTCTGGGTAGTGTAGTGTACATGTTGTAGGGGTACTGGGTAGTGTAGTGTACCTGTTGTAGGGGTACTGGGTAGCGAGCGCATCACCTCCTAGTGTCGTCGTTTTTTTCCGGTATCGTCTACCGCCCAGCCATCATGTCGTCCAGAACATTTTTCGTAGGAGGAAACTGGAAGATGAACGGTGACAAGAAGAGCCTGGGCAACCTTATAACGACCCTGAACACTGCGAGCCTCAACGATGAAACCGAGGTGGTGTGTGGTGCTCCCACCGTCTACCTTGACTTTGCCCGCTCTAACCTGGATGCAAGGATCGGCGTGGCCGCACAGAACTGCTACAAAGTCGCCAAGGGGGCCTTCACTGGCGAGATCAGCCCTGTGATGATCAAGGACTGTGGCGTGGAGTGGGTGATTCTGGGCCACTCGGAGAGGCGCCACGTGTTCGGGGAGAGCGACGAGCTGATTGGTCAGAAGGTGGCCCATGCCCTGGAGAGTGGCCTGGGGGTGATCGCCTGCATCGGAGAGAAGCTGGAGGAGAGAGAGGCTGGAACCACAGAGGAGGTGGTGTACACCCAGACCCAGGTCATCGCAGACAACGTGAAGGACTGGAGTAAAGTGGTGCTGGCTTACGAGCCTGTGTGGGCCATCGGTACTGGCAAGACGGCCTCACCCGAACAGGCCCAGGAGGTGCATGAGAAGCTGAGGGAGTGGATGAGGGCCAACGTCTCTGAGGCCGTGGCTGACTCCGTCCGCATTATCTACGGAGGCTCCGTGACGGGGGCCAACTGCAAAGAGCTGGGCTCCCAAAACGATGTGGACGGCTTCCTGGTGGGTGGAGCCTCCCTCAAGCCCGAGTTTGTTGACATCATCAACGCGCGTGCCTAGAGCGCACAAGAGCAATCTAACCTGCTGCTAGTAGTGTCCTGTGACTGCCTCTCTTCCCAGAGTGTCTGTGTGACAATGGCTTTACCTGTGTTTGTGTCAACAAGGGACTATTTGACTCATTTTGTACTGCACTGTAGTTTAGGGACCCGCCACAGTAAAAGTCCCACATTGATAAGACATGTCAGTCCAGATTATTTCTCCATTGGTTGATGCAGATGGTATTCTGTGTGTTGAGGATGGGACTTTTATTATGGAACGTCTCTTTGGATGGCGGTTCCTAACAACTACTATATCAACTATATACAGTGGGGGAAAAAAGTATTTAGTCAGCCACCAATTGTGCAAGTTCTCCCACTTAAAAAGATGAGAGAGGCCTGTAATTTTCATCATAGGTACACGTCAACTATGACAGACAAAATGAGAATTTTTTTTCCAGAAAGTCACATTGTAGGATTTTTTATGAATTTATTTGCAAATTATGGTGGAAAATAAGTATTTGGTCAATAACAAAAGTTTCTCAATACTTTGTTATATACCCTTTGTTGGCAATGACACAGGTCAAACGTTTTCTGTAAGTCTTCACAAGGTTTTCACACACTGTTGCTGGTATTTTGTCCCATTCCTCCATGCAGATCTCCTCTAGAGCAGTGATGTTTTGGGGCTGTCGCTGGGCAACACGGACTTTCAACTCCCTCCAAAGATTTTCTATGGGGTTGAGATCTGGAGACTGGCTAGGCCACTCCAGGACCTTGAAATGCTTCTTACGAAGTCACTCCTTCGTTGCCCGGGCAGTGTGTTTGGGATCATTGTCATGCTGAAAGACCCAGCCACGTTTCATCTTCAATGCCCTTGCTGATGGAAGGAGGTTTTCACTCAAAATCTCACGAAACATGGCCCCATTCATTCTTTCCTTTACACGGATCAGTCGTCCTGGTCCCTTTGCAGAAAAACAGCCCCAAAGCATGATGTTTCCACCCCCATGCTTCATAGTAGGTATGGTGTTCTTTGGATGCAACTCAGCATTCTTTGTCCTCCAAACACGACGAGTTGAGTTTTTACCAAAAAGTTATATTTTGGTTTCATCTGACCATATGACATTCTCCCAATCCTCTTCTGGATCATCCAAATGCACTCTAGCAAACTTCAGACAGGGCCTGGACATGTACTGGCTTAAGCAGGGGGACACGTCTGGCACTGCAGGATTTGAGTCCCTGGCGGCGTAGTGTGTTACTGATGGTAGGCTTTGTTACTTTGGTCCCAGCTCTCTGCAGGTCATTCACTAGGTCCCCCCGTGTGGTTCTGGGATTTTTGCTCACCGTTCTTGTGATCATTTTGACCCCACGGGGTGAGATCTTGCGTGGAGCCCCAGATCGAGGGAGATTATCAGTGGTCTTGTATGTCTTCCATTTCCTAATAATTGCTCCCACAGTTGATTTCTTCAAACCAAGCTGCTTACCTATTGCAGATTCAGTCTTCCCAGCCTGGTGCAGGTCTACAATTTTGTTTCTGGTGTCCTTTGACAGCTCTTTGGTCTTGGCCATAGTGGAGTTTGGAGTGTGACTGTTTGAGGTTGTGGACAGGTGGCTTTTATACTGATAACAAGTTCAAACAGGTGCCATTAATACAGGTAACGAGTGGAGGACAGAGGAGCCTCTTAAAGAAGAAGTTACAAGTCTGTGAGAGCCAGAAATCTTGCTTGTTTGTAGGTGACCAAATACTTATTTTCCACCATAATTTGCAAATAAATTCATTAAAAATCCTACAATGTGATTTTCTGGAAAAGAAATTCTCAATTTGTCTGTCATAGTTGACGTGTACCTATGATGAAAATTACAGGCCTTTCTCATCTTTTTAAGTGGGAGAACTTGCACAATTGGTGGCTGACTAAATACTTTTTTCCCCCACTGTATAATCTAAAATGTACATTTCTGATATATTAATAAGCACTGCACTTAGTGATGTTCCATATAGAATATGTGCTCACTCATTACTGTAAGGGGACCAGTACTTTGTGTATCGCTAGTGACTACAAGTTCCATTGTCACTAGAAGCAGTCTCTTCTGCAGTCACACGCTTGGTTTAGTCCCTCTTTTCTCTTGCATCAGACATTGCATCAACGGAAGCCACAAGTCTCTCCAGTTACTGCATGACTCTAGCAGAAATATGGCTCCTTCCATCCACCCAAAGCAGTCTGGATAATACTTTTCAAAATGATTGAAAAAGAAAAGGCGCAAAGATCCCCGGGACCACCCATACACAAAAATGTATGCACGCATGACTGTAAGTCGCTTTGGATAAAAGCGTCTGCTAAATGGCATATTATTATTATTATTATTATTATTATTAGTGTAGTGTACCTGTTGTAGGGGTTCTGGGTAGTGTAGTGTACCTGTTGTAGGGGTTCTGGGTAGTATAGTTTACCTGTTGTAAGGGTTCTGGGTAGTATAGTGTACCTGTTGTAAGGGTTCTGGGTAGTGTAGTGTACCTGTTGTAGGGGTTCTGGGTAGTGTAGTGTACCTGTTGTAGGGGTTCTGGGTAGTGTAGTGTACCTGTTGTAGGGGTTCTGGGTAGTGTAGTGTACCTGTTGTAGGGGTTCTGGGTAGTGTAGTGTACCTGTTGTAAGGGTAAGCCAGCTGGGTCTGTGGTGGGAAGCGGTTGATGCCAGGGCTGGGGTTCATGGCCTTGCTGTCGAAGCTGCGTCGGTCAAAGTAGGACAGCTGCTTCCTGTAGTACTCCTCATCCTCGTCAGGATCGTAGTGGTTGGAGGAGCGGACCACATCATCCAGGGGTTTAGACCCAGGGGGCTTCTGGGGCTCAGGGGCTCTGCGGGGGAGATGGAGGGAGGGACAGTGAGAAAGCAGCACAGATACACATCAGGGTTGGGGTTCAGAGAGTAAACCCACATTCCACATTTTCCCAATTGAAGAGAATTGTAATTAGAATTTCAATGTACTTCCTGATTTGACAGGAATTAAAATGGAATTGACCCAAACCTTCATACACTTACAAATCCATTCCACAAAGTAGAGGGTAGAGTGAGAGACAGGACGGCCAGTTAGAGAGCCACACAGACAGATCCACACAAGAGAAAGTAGAGCGAGAGACAGACATTGATAACGGAGGGATAGACAGTCAGACAGAGGGGCAGACGTTCAGATCTAGTAGCTCAGATCAGAGGGGGAAAGAGAGAGAGAGGGGGGAGGGGTCTGGGGTCCGCTCACCAACCAAGAATGCATGCAAAATTCTGCAAAAAATATCCTCTGTGTACAACGTAAAAACACCAAATAATGCATGCAGAGCAGAATTTGTCCGACACCCGCTAATTTTCCAAATCTAGAAAAGAGCGGTTAAATTCTACAACCACCTAAAAGGAAACGATTCCCAAACCTTCCATAACAAAGCCATCACCTACAGAGAGATGAACCTGGAGAAGAGTCCCCTAAGCAAGCTGGTCCTGGGGCTCTGTTCACTATACACAGACTGGCCAATAAAAATAAAAGATTAAGATGGGCAAAAGAACACAGACACTGGACTTTTTCTTTGCAACTCTGCCTAGAAGGTCAGCATCCCGGAGTCGCCTCTTCACTGTTGACGTTGAGACTGGTGTTTTGCGGGTACTATTTAATGAAGCTGCCAGTTGAGGACCTGTGAGGCGTCTGTTTCTCAAATGTATTTGTCCTCTTGTTCAGTTGTGCACCGGGGCCTCCCACTCCTCTTTCTATTCTGGTTAGAGCCAGTTTGCGCTGTTCTGTGACGGGAGTAGTACACAGCGCTGTATGAGATCTTCAGTTTCTTGGCAATTTCTCGCATGGAATAGCCTTCATTTTGCTCAGAACAAGAATAGATTGACGAGTTTCAGAAGAAAGTTCTTTGTTTCTGGCCATTTTGAGCCTGTAATCGAACCCACAATTGCTGATGCTCCAGATACTCAACTAGTCTCAAGAAGGCCAGTTTTATTGCTTCTTTAATCAGCACAACAGTTTTCAGCTGTGCTATCGTAATTGCAAAAGGGTTTTCTAATGATCAATTAGCCTTTTTAAAATGATAAACTTGGATTAGCAAACACAAAGTGCCATTGGAACACAGGACTGATGGTTGCTGATAATGGGCCTCTGTACGCCTATGTCGATATTCCATTAAAAATCAGCCGTTTCCAGCTACAATAGCCATTTACAACATTAACAATGTCTACACTGTATTTCTGATCCATTTGATGTTATTTTAATGGACAAGGACATTTTTAAGTGACCCCGAACTTTTGAATGGTAGTGTATACACTACCAGTCATAAGTTTTGACACACCTACTCATTCAAGGGTTTTTCTTCATTTTTTACAGTTTTTTACATTGTAGAATAATAGTGAAGACATCAAAACTATGAAATAACACATATGGAATCATGTAGTAACCAGAAAAGAACGCCAAGAGTGTGCAAAGCTGTCATCAAGGCAAAGGGTGGCTACTTTGAAGAATCTCAAATATAAAATATATTTTGATTTGTTTAACACTTTTTTTTGGTTACTACATGATTTCACATGTGTTATTTCATAGTTTTGATGTCTTCACTATTATTCTACAATGTAGAAAATAGTACAAATACAGAAAAACCCTTGAATGAGTAGGTGTGTCCAAACTTTTGACTGGTAGTGTATATTATTTTATACATTTGCTCAGAGAAAGAGATTTAGTATAAAGTCATACTTTTTTTCTCAAAAAAGGTAAGGGTCAAAATGATTGACACCCCTAAAAATTCGTAGAAATAAAGTGGTCAAATGTTTAGTATTTGGTCCCATATTCCACGCAATAACTACATCAAGCATGGGACTCTACAGGCTGGTTGGATGCAGTTCGTTTTGGTTGTGTCTCAGATTATTTTGTACCCAATAGCAATGAATGGTAAATAATGTATTGTGTCATTTTGGAGTCACTTTTATTATAAATAAGAAAATAATATGTTAATGTGGATGCTACCATGATTACGGATAATCCTGAATGAATCGGGAAATTTGATGATCATACCCCCAATACATGCTAACCTCTCACCAATAACAGCATGTCTTGGGGGTATGATCATAAAATTTCCCGATTCATTCAATAACAGGTTGGCATGTCTTGGGGGTATGATCTTTGACCCTCTAACTTTTCCACTCATCAAATTATTATTTTCTTATTTATAAATAAAATGACTTGTTAAACAAAATATCTTTCTCTGAGCCATTGTATTAATTATTTATTTTATTCAGTCATTATTGTGTTAATAATATTATGATAATCTGATTTGATCCAACATGACAGTACAGTGAGGGTGTACACTGAGTGGACACAACATTATGAACACCTGCCAGAACAGGTGAAAGCTATGATCCCTTATTGAGGTCACCTGTTAAATCCACTTCAAATCAGTGTAGATGAAGGGGAGGAGACAGGTTAAATGATTTTTAAGCCTTGAGACATGGATTGTATGGGCAAGACAAAATATTTAAGTGCCTTTGAACGGGTTATGGTAGTAGGTGCCAGGCGCACCGGTTTGTGTCAAGAACTGCAACGCAGCTGGGTTTTTCATGCTCAACAGTTTCCCGTGTGTGTCAAGAATGGTCCACCACCCAAAGGACATCCAGCCAACTTGACACAACCGTGGGAAGCATTGGAGTCAACATGGGCCGGCATCCCTGTGGAACGCTTTCGACACCTTGTAGAGTCCATGCCCCGACGAACTGAGGGCAAAAGGGAGTGCAACTCAATATTAGGAAGGTGTTCTTAATGTTTTGTAAATTCAGTGTACCATTTCTAGTACAGTATGTGATCATTTCAGGAGTTGAACCCATAGACCAGATGAGACAAGGTCAAGGGTCACATGGAGAGAAACCAGGGTCATGTTCATTAGGTCCCAAACAGAAGAGAATGGACTGAGGGAATACAGTTGAAGTCGGAAGTTTACAAACACTTAGGTTGGAGTCATTTAAACTTGTTTTTCAACCACTCCACAAATTTCTTGTTAACAAACTATAGTTTTGGCATGTCGGTTAGAACATCTACTTTGTGCATGACAAGTAATTTTTCAAACAATTGTTTACAGACAGATTATTTCACTTATAATTCACTGTATCGCAATTCCAGTGGGTCAGAAGTTTACATACACTAAGTTGACTGTGCCTTTAAACAGCTTGGAAAATTCCAGAAAATGATGTCATAGCTTTAGAAGCTTCTGATAGGATAATTGACATAATTTGAGTCAATTGGAGGTGTACCTGTGACTGTATTTCAAGGCCTACCTACAAACTCAGTGCCTCTTTTCTTGACATCATGGGAAAATCAAAAGAAATCAGCTGAGTCCTCAAAAATAAAATTGTAGACCTAGCCTGGTCCATCCTTGGGAGCAATTTCCAAACGCCTGAAGGTACCACGTTCATCTGTACAAACAATAGTACGCAAGTATAAACACCATGGGACCACGCAGCCGTCATACCGCTCAGGAAGGAGATGAGTTCTGTCTCCTAGAGATGAACGTACTTTGGTGCGAAAAGTGCAAATCAATCCCAGAACAATAGCAAAGGACCTTGTGAAGATGCTGGAAGAAACAGGTACAAAAGTATCTATATGCACAGTAAAACAAGTCCTATATCGACATAACCCGAAAGGCCGCTCAGCAAGGAAGAAGCCACTGCTCCAAAACTGCCATAAAAATGCCAGACTACGGTTTGCAACTGCCCATGGGGACAAAGATCGTACTTTTTGGAGAAATGTCCTCTGGTCTGATGAAACAAAAATAGGGTGGCTTGCAAGCCGAAGAACACCATCCCAACCGTGAAGTACGGGGGTGGCAGCATCATGCTGTGGGGGTGCTTTGCTGCAGGAGGGACTGGTGCACTTCACAAAATAGATGGCATCATGAGGAAGGAAAATTATGTGAATATATTGAAGCAACATCTCAAGACATCAGTCAGGAAGTTAAAGCTTGGTCGCAAATGGGTCTTCCAAATGGACAATGACCCCAAGCATACTTCCAAAGTTGTGGCAAAATGGCTTAAGGACAACAAAGTCAAGGTATTGGCGTGGCCATCCCAAAGCCCTGACCTCAATCCTATAGAAAATGTGTGGGCAGAACTGAAAAAGCGTGTGTGAGCAAGGAGGCCTACAAATCTGACTCAGTTACACCAGCTTTGTCAGGAGGAATGGGCCAAAATTCACCCAACTTATTGTGGGAAGCTTGTGGAAGGCTACCCGAAACGTTTGACCCAAGTTAAACAATTTAAAGGCAATGCTACCAAATACTAATTGAGTGTATGTAAACTTCTGACCCACTGGGAATGTGATGAAAGAAATAAAAGCTGAAATCAATCATTCTCTCTACTATTATTCTGACATTTTACATTCTTAAAATGAAGTTGTGATCCTAACTGACCTAAGACAGGGCATTTTTTACTAGGATTAAATGTCAGGAATTGTGAAAAACTGAGTTTAAATGTATTTGGCTGAGGTGTATGTAAACTTCCGACTTCGACTGTACCTGTAAGTAGACTTCTCCTGCTCCAGGTTGCTGAGGGAGTTGGCTTTGGGGACAGGGCCAGGTGCAGTCACAGGTCTGGGCAGGTCTGCAGGCTGGAACGCCAGACAGACGAGAAGGAAGGTTAAACCAGAGTATTGCAGAGTACATCTACACAGGTTGCCACTATCTGCCCTGCTCTACAATTTATCTTCTTAAAATCTGATTTAAAACCAAACCCTGACCTTAACCACTCTGCTAGCATTATCCCTAACCCTAAATTAACGCTAAATTTAAATGTTTTCATACATTTGTACGATATAGCCAATATTGACTTTGCAGCTTGGCCATAAAGTGGGAACCAACTACACAACCTCACATATTATCCTATCACATTCATCAGTGGTTCATTACCCCAAACACAGAAAAAAAAAAAACTTGATCATTAGGTCTACTGTATGTTCTTTCCAAGTACCCCATTTAGATAGGCCAGGTACCTCCCAGGGGTACTAGATAGTACCCAAGGTTGAGAACCCCAGACATCCATTATAAGCATGCTGTCTAGGTGTTTGGCCGTGTGCTAGTGTGAGAGACCTACCCTCATCACGGTGGAGTCGCCAGCCTCCTTGGCCCGGTCCACAGACAGCGACCTCTTATTCTCAAACATCTTGACCCTGTTGAGCACCGACTGGGGCTTCATGGCCGGTTCGTCCCTCTCCTCCTCCCTCCAGGGCGGCGGAGGGAGGGGTTTTGACCCCGCATTTGCCCCCATCTCTCCTGGGGAGGCCAGGGGTTCGGGTTTGGGAGGGGGCGGGGGCGGGTCAGAGTTCATTAGAGGCTCATGGTTGTAGCCCCCACCACTGCCCCGGCTGGGAGGTCCGGGGTTATAGGGGGATCTAAGGCCAGGAGCAGAGTCTCCGTAATACTGCTTGGGGGGGTCCGGGGAGCGGGGAGAGCTGAGGGGGTAGCAGTGAGGGGGCTCCGGCTCGTAGGGGGAGCGAGCGTCGTAAGGGCCAGCCAAGGGCGGGGGAGGCGGTTCATCGTACCGCCCTGGAGGTTTACCGTGACGAGGCCTGCCATCGTAGCCCTGCATCCCCGCCGGGGCCTCATCGTAGCAGGGCTGGGGGGGGCTGTAGTCCCTGACGGGGCCGTCCTCGTAGGGGGTGGTCCCCCTTGGGGTGTAACCCTGCTGGTGGCCCGGCCCAGTCTGGTACCCCGGGGGCTGAGGAGAAGAGGTCTGCTGGTCGTAGGGGGGCCACTGGCCGTCGTCGTAGTGTTGAGGCACACGGTTGTTGTAGTGCAGGTGAGGAGCGTGAGAGTCAAAGTTCCCCTGGTGAGGCTGCTTTGGTTTGGCGTAGCCCCCCCCGCCCCCGTCGCTACAGTAGGCGGAAGGCGGGTGGTCGTACTGGCGGTATGGCTGTTTGTCCTGATAGGGCTGGTGGATGTAGCTGAGAGACGACTTCATGCCGCCGTGGTTCACTCTCACTGGCTCCTCCAGACTGTACAGATCCTTCTTGTACATCTGCAGGGGAGAGGGATTGAACATGGAGATGTTAACACCTGGAGAAACTAGCTAGTTATAGGCTACAGTTTCAACATAAGCGCTTGGGTCAGAGCTCGGGTGAATAAGATTTTCCGATGTATCAATCATTACACATGGCAAATTAAGTTGAAAACTTGTAAACCTCATTAGTTTTAAAACAATTTAAATTAAAATAATTACAGAAACTACAGAAAATCCCCCAAATCAGAGGGGATTGAATGAAAGATTTTTAAAAAGGGAGGTTTCTGAGAAGTTAAGCTCAAACCTTATTCAAGGACTGAATGAAGATACAACACGTCATCATCCATACAATTCAATTGTAGTAACTCCAAATACCAATAAATTAAACAAACATCAAGTCAAAGTGCAAGTCGACAAGCAATTATCTTATCAATTATTCCTAATCAGTTCTAAAGGCATATTTGACAAGAAGCCTTTCAAGAGTGACTGAACATTTCCATATTCTCATAATGTTACGTTTTTGGATGATGTTGTCAATAATGTTTGTTTTTTTACAATTCTGAAAGGCTTCATTTCAAACCGGTGATGTACAGCCTGTAGACAGTAACAATAGACAGTTACAGTGAGGGAAAAAAGTATTTGATCCCCTGCTGATTTTGAAAGTTTGCCCACTGACAAAGACATGATCAGAGATTCCTAACCCCTCCTCCCTAACCCCTCCTCCCTAACCCCTCCTCCCTAACCCCGTCTCCCTAACCCTTCCTCCCTAACCCCGTCTCCCTAACCCCTCCTCCCTAACCCCTCCTCCCTAACCCCTCCTCCCTAACCCCTCCTCCCTAACCCCTCCTTCCTAACTCCTCCTCCCTAACCAAATAACAGTGATGTGCAGAACAGCATCTCGGTACTAGTTACATCCCCAATAACTACTCATACACACGATCAAGATAAGCAATTCTGCGCAGGCAACGCCTTCCTCCAAACACCTCCCCTCAAACACGCTGTCAAATATAATGCTGTGGTCACACAGTGGGCAGTCACACAGTGTGGGCGGGGCATGCAGACAAGGGAGCCAGTCAGAGGAGAAAGAAGCGTGTGCGAAGAAGTCAGGCAAGTTAAAACAGAACAGCAGGCTGGGGGGGGCGGGGCAGAGAACCGGGCGGGGCAGTTAAGGATGTGACTGGCCCAGGCCTGGTCCAGGTGTTCTAGTGAGGCAGCAGGTAGGTGCTGGGGTGGTGGTAGTAGGTAGGTGAGTACCTTCGGTTTGGGACCAGGGCCGAGCTGCGGGTCAGACAGGGGTTGGGGTTCGAGTGATGGTGGTGTTGGGGGCGGGGCTAGCTCAGTAGGAGCATGGCTGCTGGGGAGTGAGTCTGCAGCCTGAGGAGCTGCAGCCGGAGCCGCCTCCTCGGGTTCAGGGGTCATACCCTCTACCTGCAGTGCAGGGTGCTGTGACTCAGCCTCAACAACAGGGGGCACCACCGCCGCAGGTAGCAGAGAGGAAGGAATGGCCAGAGCAGCACTGTCTTGCTGTGAAGTATCATTAAGAGACATTTTATTGCAACAGGCTGCCAAGAGGACAGCAACACTCCACAAACTACAGCAGTTTATCTCTCTGTCTCCATAGTAACCTTCTCTCTCCAAGTTCCTCCTCCTTGAATCATTTTTACGCCATCCAGAAACCCGTATACAACGTATTTGCAACAATGTGGTTAGCTACAACAGATAGCTTTACAATATTCAATATATATTGTGTATACTATGTAAAGGGTCTCTCTTACTGAAGGAACAAATACATGTCATGTTTAACAACAGCAAAAACATTACTCTGAACAGAATAAGGTCGCAGGTTGTAATAACGTAATTCCTGCCCGTTTTGCCCCTAGAGAGGCGCCTCTACTGCTACACCTCTCCTCTTCTCTCCCTCTCTCTCCTACCTGCTGAGGAGCGGCGGCCATCTTGAACCCGGACGGTTCGATGCGGTTGACCGGGTCAGGCAGAGTCACAGCAATGTGCTGGTATCCAGGGTAACCGCCAGACGAGGGGTCCTGGATGACGGGCTCTGAGGAGCGGGTGATGGCTGGCTCTGTGGACAGGCCAACCTAAATGGGATTTAGAAACTGGACTTACTACAAACTGAGACTTTTAAAAACTTGTATGAAGTATATTGTGTTGTGTTTTTTTCTCCAAGTATTGTCTTAATGCATAATTCAGTATTTTTTGAATGTGAACATACAGTGCCAGTCAAAGGTTTGGACACACCTACTCATTCAAGGATTTTTCTTACATCTTTTACAGTTTTTTACATTGTAGAACAATAGTGAAGACATCAAAACTGTGAAATAACACATATGGAATCATGTACGGGGCGGCAGGTAGCTTAGTGGTTAAGAGCGTTGTGCCAGTAACCGAAAGGTCGCTGGTTCTAATCCCCGAGCCGACTAGGTGAAAAATCTGTCGTTGTGCCCTTGAGCAAGGCACTTAACCCTAATTGCTCCTGTAAGTCGCTCTGGATAAGAGCGTCTGCTAAATGACTAAAATGTAATGTAAATGTGAAAATGTAGTAACCAAAAAAGTGTTAAACAAATCAAGATATATTTTATATTTGAGATTCTTCAAATAGCCACCCTTTGCCTTGATGACAGCTTTGCACACTCTTGACATTCTCTCAACCACCTTCACCTGGAATGCTTTTCCAACAGTCTTGAAGGAGTTCCCACATATGCTGAGCACTTGTTGGCTGCTTTTCCTTCACTCTGCCGTCCGACTCATCCCAAACCATCTCAATTGGGTTGAAGTCAATTGGGTTGAAGTCATTCTGTTAACAGCGATGGCTGGCGGGAGGTAAGCTTGGCTTATATGGTGTCGAGTAAAGATTAAACCATGTATTTAGATTGTAGGTAGGTAGGTATTGTAGTTAGGTATTGTAGGTAGTTTATCTAAGTAGTTATTGTAGGTTATTGTAGGTAATTATTGTAGGTAAGTATTGTATTCGGCTGAGCCCGGTGAAACACGAGGCTAGCTAACTCACTACCTGGACAAATAAAGCTAACTAGCTAGCGGGTAGCTACTGGTAACTATTAGCAACTGTGGATAGTTGTTTCCAATGTTATTTCACGCTTAAGAGTACCTGTAATTATGCCAGCTAGCTAGCTACCATTCAGCTGTTTTTCTAACCTCATTATCTGAAGCGTTAACGCTAGGTAGTTATTAGCTACTGTACTCGAAATGTAGCTACCTGGATAGCTAACTAAACAATAGCTGGAACGACCTAGCTTTAATATTTGGAGACGCTTTCTCTCCATTGGGACAGACGCGAACTGGCTGAATCGATTCAGTGGCTAGCTTTGCACTTAACTGGCTAACAGTAGCTACTAAGGGTAAGCTATAACCTACATTTATTTTTGTTTTTACATACTGGTAACCAGATTCGTTCAAGGGAATTCGGGACATGGGTGACTAGCTAACGTTAGCTTGGCTCTCTGTGTGTTCGTGCCGTGGGAGGAGGGGTTAGTTCGTTGGCAGAGAGCAATGGCTAGCTAGTATGCTAACTATTCTAGCTAACTAACTGGCTGAATAAGTTGACGACGTACTCACTCAAACTGTAAAAACTAACCCAAAACTTTACACAACGTTAGACACGGACACGAATGATCTGCTTGGCGTGTTAACACACTGGTGGTTTGTTGTAACCGAGTATTGGTGCTAAACCGTGTTATTGGAGGCTGGCATGCTAGTTGGCTTTGGCGTCATAGGATTCGGTGTACCAAGCTAGCTAGCTGAATAAACTAAGTTAGAGTCTATTCCTAGAAACATTGAACCGCTGTAGTTTACAACAATTATAATTTCTAAAGTGGAAGTTGGGAGAGTTATATTTGTTCATCTGTCTATCTCCTCATTTGAATTCCATGCTGTCACAGTCACTAGCCCATTCAAGCTTAACATCCTTGTCATTTATCGCCCTCCAGGTTCCCTTGGAGAGTTCATCAATGAGCTTGACCAGTATCCCTACTACAGACCAGTATCCCTTATTTATTTTCTCTCCAAAACTCTTGAGCGTGCCGTCTCTAGCCAACTCTCCTGCTATCTCTCTCAGAATTACCTTCTTGATCCAAACCAGTCAGGTTTCAAGACTGGTCATTCAACTGAGACTGCTCTTCTCTGTGTCACGGAGGCTCTCTGCACTGCTAAAGCTAACTATCTCTCCTCTGCTCTTATCCTTCTAGACCTGTCTGCTGCCTTTGATACTGTGAACCATCAGATCCTCCTCTCCACCCTCTCTGAGTTGGGCATCTCCGGCGCTGCTCACTCTTGGATTGCGTCCTACCTGACAGGTCGCTCCTACCAGGTGGCGTGGGCGAGAATCTGTCTCCGCACCACGTGCTCTCACCACTGGTGTCCCCCAGGGCTCAGTTCTAGGCCCTCTCCTATTCTCTCTATACCCCAAGTCACTTGGCTCTGTCATATCCTCACATGGTCTCTCCTATCATTGCTACGCAGACGACACACAATTAATTTTCTTCTTTCCCCCTTCTGATAACCAGGTGGCGAATCGCATCTCTGCATGTCTGGCAGACATATCAGTGTGGATGTCGGATCACCACCTCAAGCTGAACCTCGGCAAGACGGAGCTGCTCTTCCTCCCGGGGAAGGACTGCCCGCTCCATGATCTCCCCATCACGGTTGACAACTCCATTGTGTCCTCCTCCCAGAGTGCAAAGAGCCTTGGCGTGACCCTGGACAACACCCTGTCGTTCTCCGCTAACATCAAAGCAATGACCCGATCCTGCAGGTTCATGCTCTACAACATTCGCAGAGTACGACCCTACCTTACACAGAAAGCGGCACAAGTCCTAATCCAGGCACTTGTCATCTCCCGTCTGGATTACTGCAACTCGCTGTTGGCTGGGCTCCCTGCCTGTGCCATTAAACCCCTACAACTTATCCAGAACGCCGCAGCTCGTCTGGTGTTCGACCTTCCCAAGTTCTCTCATGTCACCCCGTTCCTCTGCACACTCCACTGGCTTCCAGTTGAGGCTCGCATCTACTACAAGACCATGGTGCTTGCCTACGGAGCTGTGAGGGGAATGGCACCTCCTTACCTTCAGGCTCTGATCAGACCCTACACCCAAACGAGGGCACTACGTTCATCCACCTCTGGCCTGCTAGCTCCCCTACCTCTACAGAAGCACAGTTCACGCTCAGCCCAGTCAAAGCTATTTGCTGCTCTGGCACCCCAATGGTGGAACAAGTTCCCTCACGACACCAGGACAGCGGAGTCACTGACCACCTTCCGGAGACACTTGAAACCCTACCTCTTTAAAGAATACCTGGAATAGTATAAAGCAATCCTTCTACCCCCCCCTCCTCCCCCCCCCCCCCCCCCCATAAAAAAAAGAAGTTGTCCCACTGGCTATCATAAGTTGAATGCACCAATTTGTAAGTCGCTCTGGATAAGAGAGTCTGCTAAATGATGTAAATGTTAATGTAAATGTAAGTCGGGGGATTGTGGAGGCCAGGTCATCTGATGCAGCACTCCATCACTCTCCTTCTTGCTAAAATAGCCCTTTTACAGCCTGGAGGTGTGTTGGGTCATTGTCCTGTTGAAAAACAAATGATAGTCCCACTAAGCGCAAACCAGATGGGATGGCGTATCGCTGCAGAATGATGTGGTAGCCATGCTGGTTAAGTGTGCCTTGAAATCTAAATAAATCACAGACAGAGTCACCAGCAAAGCACCCCCACACCATAACACCTCCTCCTCCATGCTTTAAGGTGGGAACTACACATGCGGAGATCATCCGTTCACCCACACCGCGTCTCACAAAGAAACGGCGGTTTGAACCAAAAATCTCAAATTTGAACTCCAGACCAGAGGACAAATTCCCCCAGGTCTAATGTCCATTGCTTGTGTTTCTTGGCCCAAGCAGGTCTCTTCTTCTTATTGGTGTCCTTTAGTAGTGGTTTCTTTGCAGCAATTCGAACATGAAGGCCTGATTCACGCAGTCTCCTCTGAACAGTTGATGTTGAGATGTGTCTGTTACTTGAACTCTGTGAAGCATTTATTTGGGCTGCAATTTCTGAGGCTGGTAACTCAAATGAACTTATCCTCTGCAGCAGAGGTAACTCTGGGTCTTCCATTCCTGTGGCTGTCCTCATGAGAGCCAGTTTCATCATAGCGCTTGATGGTTTTTGCGACTGCACTTGAAGAAACTTTCAACGTTTTTGAAATTTTCCGAATTGACTGTCCTTCATGTCTTAAAGTATTGATGGACTGTCGTTTATTTGAGCTGTTCTTGCCATAATGTGGACTTGGTCTTTTACCAAATAGGGCTATCTTCTGTATACCCCCCTACCTTGTCACAACACAACTGATTGGCTCAAACGCATTAAGAAGGAAATAAATTCCGCCAATTAACTTTTAAGAAGGCACACCTGTTAATTGAAATGCATTCCAGGTGACTACCTCATGAATCTGGTTGAGAGAATGCCAAGAGTGTGCAAAGCTGTCATCAAGGCAAAGGGTGGCTATTTGAAGAATCTCAAATATAAAATATATCTTGATTTGTTTAACACTTTTTTGGTTACTACATGATTCCATATGTGTTATTTCATAGTTTTAATGTCTTCACTATTATTCTACAATGTAAAAAAATATAAAAAAAAATAAAGGAAAAACCCTTGAATGAGTAGGTGTGTCCAGACTTTTGACTGGTAGTGTATGTAAATGAAATCAAATGTAAAAAAATTCAGGCCCACCTCGTCGTTGAGCGTCTCGTCTAGTTCCTGGTCGGTGTAGGCCCCGCCCTCTGTGTCCGTGTCCTCGTAGTCAGAGGTGTGGCGGCTGTCCGTGCTGTACATGGAGTATTCACTGCCTGGAGCTGACAGGTATGACAGACGGTCATCGTGGATGTCCAGGTCATCGTCCGGAGCTCCGTCCGCCTGGGGAGAAGAGGAGGAGGAGGAGGAGAGATGGTAGTGGTGGATGTGAAGAAATATGCTGTTTTCTTAGGGTTGCTTCAGCTGGTGAGTGGGAAATGTTTAGACGTTATTCAAAGGAAAGAAGCTCCTGCACACTGTGTTCGCAAAGTATCATATTCATAAGTAGATGTATTTTTTAAACGTGAAACTACAATGGACAGCTGAGTGTTTCCTCTCACCTTGCCCTCGGACACCCAGACCAACTGGTTCTGCTGCTGCTGGACGGTCTCCTTCAGAGCTCCGTACCAGCCGTCGTTCATGTTGTTCATGTTGATGGTGGCTAAGACAGGAGGCCAAAAGGGTTACCATTTATATCTGTTAAAGGTATAGTGCCAGATTTGGGAAATTAAGCCAAATTAAGCACATTTTTATGTCTCTGCGTCCAATCTAAAGGAAGTTAAGATGTACTTTCACGAGCCAATTCACTTTTCTTAACATGCTACTTTCATTAACCAAGCAAACAAATGGTTGCGATAGAGAGAAGTTTGTGTATGCAAACAGCCGGGTATCTAATAGGGCCAAGATATTTTGTGGAGTTCCTCAGGGATATATTATCGGACCCTTGTTGTTTAGGAAACACTTAATTTGAACTATACCTCATAACACTGTCATAATATTGTCATAAACGTGACATAACAAATGCCCCTCTCTTTACTCACTGGTGAAGAGGTGATGGTTGTTCTTCCTTAGTTTCAGGGCTCTCTCTCTCTTACTCCACCCTCTCTTTCTCCCCCACCTCCTCTCTTCCTATCTCTCCCTTCCATCTTCCCCCCTCTTTACTCACTGGTGAAGAGGTGGTGGTTGTTCTTTCCTTAGTTTCAGGGCTCTCTCATAGAGTTTCCGGGCGGACTTCCTGGACTCGGAACAGAGCCTGGTTCTCATGTTCTTGACCCCCTGCTTGTTGTCTGGGTTCAAGAACACTACGATGGGGTACCACTGGGCGTAGTTCAGACGGTCCACTGCATTGGGGGTGATGTCCAGCACCGCATGTTTGTCCTATATACCAGAAAATACATAACTTACATGATCTATTCTTCCTACTGGAGCAAAGGGCCTCAACACAGTCAGTATTCTTCCTACTGGAGCAAAGGGCCTCAACACAGTCAGTATTTCTGCTACTGGAGCAAAGGGCCTCAACACAGTCAGTATTTCTGCTACTGGAGCAAAGGGCCTCAACACAGTCAGTATTCTTCCTACTGGAGCAAAGGGCCTCAACACAGTCAGTATTCTTCCTACTGGAGCAAAGGGCCTCAAACACAGTCAGTATTCCTTCTACTGGAGCAAAGGGCCTCAAACACAGTCAGTATTCTTCCTACTGGCAAGGGCCTCAACAGTCAGTATTCTTCCTACTGGAGCAAAGGGCCTCAACACAGTCAGTATTCTTCCTACTGGAGCAAAGGGCCTCAACACAGTCAGTATTCTTCCTACTGGAGCAAAGGGCCTCAACACAGTCAGTATTTCTGCTACTGGAGCAAAGGGCCTCAACACAGTCAGTATTCTTCCTACTGGAGCAAAGGGCCTCAACACAGTCAGTATTCTTCCTACTGGAGCAAAGGGCCTCAACACAGTCAGTATTCCTTCTACTGGAGCAAAGGGCCTCAACACAGTCAGTATTCTTCCTACTGGAGCAAAGGGCCTCAACACAGTCAGTATTCTTCATACTGGAGCAAAGGGCCTCAACACAGTCAGTATTCTGCTACTGGAGCAAAGGGCCTCAACACAGTCAGTATTTCTGCTACTGGAGCAAAGGGCCCTCAACACAGTCAGTATTCTTCCTACTGGAGCAAAGGGCCTCAACACAGTCAGTATTCTTCCTACTGGAGCAAAGGGCCTCAACACAGTCAGTATTCCTTCTACTGGAGCAAAGGGCCTCAACACAGTCAGTATTCTTCCTACTGGAGCAAAGGGCCTCAACACAGTCAGTATTCTTCCTACTGGAGCAAAGGGCCTCAACACAGTCAGTATTCTTCCTACTGGAGCAAAGGGCCTCAACACAGTCAGTATTCTTCCTACTGGAGCAAAGGGCCTCAACACAGTCAGTATTCTTCCTACTGGAGCAAAGGGCCTCAACACAGTCAGTATTCTTCCTACTGGAGCAAAGGGCCTCAACACAGTCAGTATTCTTCCTACTGGAGCAAAGGGCCTCAACACAGTCAGTATTCTTCCTACTGGAGCAAAGGGCCTCAACACAGTCAGTATTTCTGCTACTGGAGCAAAGACTACATTTGAAAAAGCCATTCTGCATCACAAAAATATCTAAAGAGAACATCATTCCAGAATAATTTTGCAATTGTGGAAAAGAAAATCCTAAATTCCTCAAATCAAAAAGAGTCCTATTGAAATGAGTGTCTGTGTGTGTAAAGGCAAACTCACTTTGTCGATGATCTGCTTGATGGTGTGGAGACGGATGATTCCTGAACTACGCTGGTCTTTCCCCGCGTCTCTAGGTTCACTCTCTGGAACACAGGGGGAAGGAACAGTTTCATTACATAGTTCTTTAATCAGTTTAATCATTCTACAATTAACTAGTTACTGGCATTTTAGAAAACTATCAGAGCATTTGAATGTCATTTTGATACACTTTGTTACTCACTTGCGAGCTCAAACAGATCGGGCTCCTCTCGGGAGATTTTCTCTCGTGCCACGTCTGCGATGGGTCCAAATATCACCACAGGCCTGAGGAAACCAGCTGGACAAACACACCAACAGAAGGCCATCAAAGTACGTTAGACTGAGTGGGAGGATTAGTGATTTTTTTTGTGGTTTTTATTCAGATCCCCATTAACTGTGGAAGAAGAAACAGCTATTCTTCCTGGGTCCACACAAAACATTGAACATGACAAAATACAGAACACTAATGGACAAGAACAGTAACACAAATTTAAAACTAACACTACAACTAAAGAAAAACTTGAAAACAGCATAACATTTAGTAAAAGCAGAATATTTGGATCAGGATGGTGTAGCAGTAAACTGTAGTGTTATATCCCACCCCATGGTGCCCTTTCTCCCTCTATCAACTGAAAGACAATAACTTTATAGCCTTTCCAACTTTCTACATTTACTGAGAAATACAAAAAGTTGGTGCTACATTATGAAAGCTCACCACTATTAGAGGCAGGTTAAGATTTACAAGAGTGGTTAGGGAGGAGGGGCTAGGGAGGAGGGCTGAGGGAGGAGGGGCTAGGGAGGAGGGGCTAGGGAGGAGGGCTGAGGGGAGGAGGGGCTAGGAGGAGGGCTGAGGGAGGAGGGGCTAGGGAGGAGGGCTGAGGGAGGAGGTCTGAGAGAGGAGGGGCTAGGGAGGAGGGCTGTGGGAGGAGGGCTGAGGGAGGAGGAGGGGTTAGGGAGGAGGAGGGGTTTAGGGAGGAGAGGTTAGGGAGGAGGGGCTAGGGAGGAGGAGGGGTTAGGGAGGAGGTCTGAGAGAGGAGGGCTGAGGGAGGAGGGGCTAGGGAGGAGGGGCTAGGGAGGAGAGGTTGGGGAGGAGGGGCTAGGGAGGAGGGGCTAGGGAGGAGGAGGGGTAGGGAGGAGGAGGGGTTAGGGAGGAGGGGCTAGGGAGGAGGGGTTAGGGAGGAGGGGCTAGGGAGGAGGGCTAGGGAGGAGGGGTTAGGGAGGAGGGGTTAGAGGAGGGGCTAGGGAGGAGGGGTTAGAGAGGAGGGGTTAGGGAGGAGGGGCTAGGGAGGAGGGGTTAGGGAGGGAGGGGCTAGGGGGAGGAGGGCTGAGGGAGGAGGGGCTAGGGAGGAGGGGCTAGGGAGGAGGGGTTAGGGAGGAGGGGCTAGGGAGGAGGGCTGAGGGAGGAGGGGCTAGGGAGGATGGGGCTAGGGAGGAGGGGTTAGGGAGAGGGGCTAGGGAGGAGGGGCTAGGGAGGAGGTGGCTTCGGGAGGAGGGGTTAGGGAGGAGGGCTGAGAGAGGAGGGGCTGAGGGAGGAGGGGCTAGGGAGGGAGAGGGGCCGGGGAGGGCTGAGGAGGAGGCTGAGGGAGGAGGGGCTAGGGAGGAGGGCTGTGGGAGGAGGGGTTAGGGAGGAGGGGCTAGGGAGGAGGGGTTGAGAGGAGGGGTTTAGGGAGGAGGGGTTAGGGAGGAGGGGTTATGGGAGGAGGGCTAGGGAGGAGGGGCTAGGGAGGAGGGGTTAGGGAGGAGGGGGCTAGGGGAGGGAGCGGAGGTGAGGGAGGAGGGTGAGGGAGGAGGGGCTAGGGAGGGAGGGCTGAGAGAGCAGGGGGCTAGGGAGGAGGGGGGTTAGGGAGGAGGGGCTAGGGAGGAGGGGTTAGGGAGGAGGGGCTAGGGAGGAAGGCTGAGAGAGCAGGGGCTGAGGGAGGAGGTCGAGGGAGGAGGGGCTAGGGAGGAGGGCTGAGGGAGGAGGGGCTAGGGAGGAGGGGCTAGGGAGGAGGGGTTAGGGAGGAGGGGCTGAGGGAGGAGGGGCTAAGGAGGAGGGGGCTAGGGAGGAGGGCTGAGAGAGCAGGGGCTAAGGAGGATGGGGGGTTAGGGAGGAGGGGGCTAGGGAGGAGGGCTGTGGGAGGAGGGGGTTAGGAGGAGGGGCTAGGGAGGAGGGGTTAGGGAGGAGGGGTTAGGGAGGAGGTCTGAGGGAGGAGGGGGCTAGGGAGGAGGTCTGAGGGAGGAGGGGCTAGGGAGGAGGGCTGAGGGAGGAGGGCTGAGGGAGGAGGGGCTAGGGAGGAAGGCCTGAGAGAGCAGGGGCTAAGGAGGAGGGGTTAGGGAGGAGGGCTGTGGGAGGAGGGGTTAGGGAGGAGGGGCTAGGGAGGAGGGGGTTAGGGAGGAGGGTGTTAGGGAGGAGGGCTGTGGGAGGAGGGGCTAGGGAGGAGGTCTGAGGGAGGAGGGTAGGGAGGAGGGCTGAGGGAGGGAGGGCTGAGGGAGGAGGGGCTAGGGAGGAGGGGCTAGGGAGGAGGGGCTAGGGAGGAGGGCTGAGGGAGGAGGTCTGAGGGAGGAGGGGCTAGGGAGGAGGGCTGAGGGAGGAGGGCTGAGGGAGGAGGGCTGAGGGAGGAGGGGCTAGGGAGGAGGGGCTAGGGAGGAGGGGCTAGGGAGGAAGGCTTGAGGGAGGAGGGCTGAGGGAGGAGGGGCTAGGGAGGAGGGGCTAGGGAGGAAGGCTGAGGGAGGAGTGGCTAGGGAGGAGGGGTTAGGGAGGAGGGCTAGGGAGGAGGGGCTAGGGAGGAGGGGCTAGGGAGGAAGGCTGAGGAGGAGGGCTGAGGGAGGAGGGGCTAGGGAGGAGGGGCTAGGGAGGAGGGGCTAGGGAGGAAAGGCTGAGGGAGGAGGGCTGAGGGAGGAAGGCTGAGGGAGGAGGGGCTAGGGAGGAGGGGTTAGGGAGGAGGGGCTAGGGAGGAGGGGCTAGGGAGGAAGGCTGAGGGAGGAGGGCTGAGGGAGGAGGGGCTAGGGAGGAGGGGCTAGGGAGGAGGGGCTAGGGAGGAAGGCTGAGGGAGGAGGGCTGAGGGAGGAGGGGCTAGGGAGGAGGGCTGAGGGAGGAGGGGCTAGGGAGGAGGGCTGAGGGAGGAGGGCTGAGGGAGGAGGGGCTAGGGAGGAGGGGCTAGGGAGGAAGGCTAAGAGAGGAGGGGCTAGGGAGGAAGGCTGAGGGAGGAGGGGCTAGGGAGGAGGGGATAGGGAGGAGGGGGCTAGGGAGGAAGGCTGAGGGAGGAAGGCTGAGGGAGGAAGGCTGAGGGAGGAGGGGCTAGGGAGGAGGGGTTAGGGAGGAGGGGCTAGGGAGGAGGGGCTAGGGAGGAGGGGCTAGGGAGGAAGGTGAGGGAGGAGGGCTGAGGGAGGAGGGGCTAGGGAGGAGGGGCTAGGGAGGAGGGGCTAGGGAGGAAGGCTGAGGGGAGGAGGGCTGAGGGAGGAAGGCTGAGGGAGGAGGGGCTAGGGAGGAGGGGGTTAGGGAGGAGGGGGCTAGGGAGGAAGGCTGAGGGGAGGAGGGCTGAGGGAGGAGGGGCTAGGGAGGAGGGGGCTAGGGAGGAGGGGCTAGGGAGGAAGGCTGAGGGAGGAGGGCTGAGGGAGGAGGGGCTAGGGAGGAGGGCTGAGGGAGGAGGGGTAGGGAGGAGGGCTGAGGGAGGAGGGGCTAGGGAGGAGGGCTGAGGGAGGAGAGTTGAGGGAGGAGGGGCTAGGGAGGAGGGCTGAGGGAGGAGGGGCTAGGGAGGATGAATTAGGGGTTAGGGGTTAGGGAGGAGGGGTTAGGGGTTAGGGAGGAGTGGTTAGGGAGACGGGGTTAGGGAGGAGGCTTTATATGTTATAAGCATGTATGAGCGTTTATAATGTGTTATTACAAGGCAAGTCATCCTCACCCTCTCTAAGCACCACCCTCTCGTATGCGGGGAACTTGGACTGGACGGGCTGGGCCGACAGGTCCTCTCTGCTCTTCCTTAGGTTCCTCTTGGAGCTCCTCAGGCCCCTGAACCTCCAGAAGTCAGCCCTGTCGCCCCCTGCTGTCTTGGGGAGGGTGTACTGCACACTGGACAGCTGCTCCGCTCTGGAGACAGATAGAGGAGAGGGAGTTGGATAACTAACTAACTAACTAGATAACTAACCCTAACCCTGCTGTCTTGGGGAGCGTGTACTGCACGCCATAAGTGGAGAGAAGTTTGCTATGATGTTTTTCTCTGCAAAAGGGAAAGAGATTGAGTTCTCTGTAAAACCCAGATGATGATGGTCTATTGATTGAAATGTTGGTGAAAAATATGCATTACATTTTTTTTGGGGGGGGGGGGGGGGGGGGGGGCATGAAAATCACCCGTGTGCTGGAGTTAATGTTCTATTCAGAACAAGAAAATGAGAGGGAACAGACAGAGTTCTCAGTAGAGACACCTCTGTAGAGGGCTTTCATGTGTCTGTGGCTCTGTCCTGGCACTGGCTAACGTCAATACTGCCAACACAGAGGCATCCCACATGGCAATGATAACCATAACAAATGTGATTAAGACAACGTGACATTAAGATTGTTATGATAAATTGTGACCAGTGTGAATCTTGTTCCCTTATTATTTTTATGTATTTATAGTATTGTCTTAACCAGGTAAGTTATATGGAACACATTCATGTTTTCAAATAAACAAACTGACTTCTGTGAGAACCTTGATTTCTGTGAAAACTCAACCACATTACGTCTTGCTGATAAACCCCCAGAGGAGCCAAAGGACTGAAGACAAGATGGAAATAAACAATGTGTCATCATCACCTGTTCTTGTTGGGTATGATGCCTCTCTCCACCTCCTGGTGGTTCTTCCCGATGCGGATGGCCAGCCAGGAGCCCAGCTTGCCGTTGTAAAGGGTGTCCACCACTCTGAACACCTCTCCCTTGTTGAAGCTCAGGCCGTACGGAGACTCCTTCTCATACTCAAAGTGGGTCCGGATGTAGAACGAGTCGCCCACATCAGACTCCACGATCCGCCGGTACACTGGAGCAGAACACAGACTGAGTTAGATACAGAGAGTTAGAGACAGATACAGAGTTAGAGACAGAGACAGAGACAGAAACAGAGACAGAGACAGAGACAGAGACAGAGTTAGAGACAGAGTTAGAGACAGAGACAGAGTTAGAGACAGAGACAGAGTTAGAGACAGAGTTAGAGACAGAGTTAGAGACAGAGTTAGAGACAGAGTTAGAGACAGAGACAGAGTTAGAGACAGAGACAGAGTTAGAGACAGAGTCAGAGACAGAGTCAGAGACAGAGACAGAGTTAGAGACAGAGACAGAGTAAGAGACAGAGTTAGAGACAGAGTCAGAGACAGAGACAGAGTTAGAGACAGAGACAGAGTAAGAGACAGAGTTAGAGACAGAGACAGACAGACAGAGACAGGAGAGCAGAACAATAGAGTTACATCTCTGATGATGGTAGTTCAATAGCTACATCTCTGATGATGGTAGTTCAATAGAGTACATCTCTGATGATGGTAGTTCAATAGAGTTACAACTCTGATCAATAGAGTTACATCTCTGATGATGGTAGTTCAATAGAGTTACATCTCTGATCAATAGAGTTACATCTCTGATGATGGTAGTTAAATTTAGAAAGGGGGTGGGGGTTAAGGGAATTTGAGTGGGGTTTGGTAAGGGGGGGGGGTTTGGGTTGGGGAAAGGGGGGGGGGGGGGGTTGGGGTAAGGGGGGGGGGTTGGGGGGGTAAGGGGGGGGGGGGGGGGGTGTTGGGGTAAGGGGGGGGGGGGGGGGGGGGGTTAAGGGGGGGTTTTGGGGGTAAGGGGGGGGGTTGGGGTAAGGGGGGGGGGGGGGGGAAAAAGGGGGGGGGTTGGGGAAAAGGGGGGGGGGGGGGGGGGGTTGGGGGTAAGGGGGGGGGTTGGGGAAGGGGGGGGGTTGGGGGAAGGGGGGGGGTTTGGGGTGGGGGGGGGGTTGGGGGGGGGGGGGGGGGGTTGGGGTAAGGGGGGGGGGGGTGGGGGGGGTGTTGGGGTAGGGGGGGGGGGGAAAGGGGGGGGGGTTTTGGGGAAAGGGGGGGGGGTTGGGGTGGTAAGGGGGGGGGTTTGGGGAAAGGGGGGGTGGGGGTGGGGGGTGGGGGTAAGGGGGGGGGGGGGGGGTAAGGGGGGGTGGGTTGGGGAAGGGGGGGGGGGGTGGGGGGGTGGGTTTGGGGGGAAGGGGGGGGGGGTTGGGGGGAAAGGGGGGGGGGAAGGGGGGGGGGGGTTGGGAAAGGGGGGGGGGGGTTTTGGGGGTAAGGGGGGGTGGGGGGTAAAGGGGGGGGGGGGGGTTAAGGGGGGGGGGGGGTAAGGGGGGGGTTTTGGGGAAAGGGGGGGGTTGGGGGGTAAGGGGGGGTGGGGGGTAAGGGGGGGGGGGGTTGGGGGAAGGGGGGGGTGGGGGTAAGGGGGGGGGGGGGTTTTAAGGGGGGGGGGGGGGAAGGGGGGGGGGTGGGGTAAGGGGGGGGGTTTGGGGGGGGGGGAAGGGGGGGGTTTGGGGGGGAAAGGGGGGGGGTTGGGGTAAGGGGGGGGGGGTAAGGGGGGGGTTTTGGGGTAAGGGGGGGGTTGGGGAAAGGGGGGGGGGTGTTGGGGTAAGGGGGGGGGGGGGGGGAAGGGGGGGGTTTGGGGGTAAGGGGGGGGGGTGTTGGGGAAGGGGGGTGGGGGGGAAAGGGGGGGGTTTGGGGGTAAGGGGGGGGTGTTTGGGGTAAGGGGGGGGGGTTTGGGGGAAGGGGGGGGGGGTTTTTGGGGGGAAGGGGGGGGTTGGGTTGGGAAAGGGGGGGTTTGGGGAAGGGGGGGGTTTTGGGTAAGGGGGGTGGGGGGGGAAAGGGGGGGTGGGTTGGGGAAAGGGGGGGGGGGGGTTGGGGTGGGGGGGGTTTTTTGGGGTAAGGGGGGGTGGGGAAAGGGGGGGGTTTGGGGGTTTAAGGGGGGGGGGGGGGAAAGGGGGGGGTTGGGGGTAAGGGGGGGGGTTTTGGGGGAAAGGGGGGGGGGGGTGGGGAAAGGGGGGGGGTTTTGGGGTAAGGGGGGGGGGGGGGGGTAAGGGGGGGGGGGGGGGGAAGGGGGTGTTGGGGTGGGGGGGGGTTTGGGGGGGTAGGGGGGGGTTGGGGTAAGGGGGGGGGGGGTAAGGGGGGGGTGTTGGGGAAGGGGGGGGGGGTTTTGGGGTAAGGGGGGGGGTTGGGTTAAGGGGGGGTTGGGGTAAGGGGGGGTTTGGGGGGAAAGGGGGGGGGTTTTTTGGGGTAAGGGGGGTGGGTTTGGGGTAAGGGGGGGTTTGGGGTAAGGGGGGGGGGGGGTGTTGGGGAAGGGGGGGTGGGGGGGGGTAAGGGGGGGGGGGGGGAAGGGGGGGGGGGGGGGGTTAAGGGGGGGTGGGTTGGGGAAAGGGGGGGGGTGGGGGGGGGGGGGGGGGTTTGGGGTAAGGGGGGGGTGGGGGGGGGAAAGGGGGGGGGGTGGGTTGGGTTAAAAGGGGGGGGGTTGGGGGTGGGGGGGGGGGGGTAAGGGGGGGGTGTTGGGGTAAGGGGGGGGGGTTGGGGAAAGGGGGGGGGGGGGGGTGGGGGGGGGGGTTTTTGGGTAAGGGGGGGGGGTTGGGGTAAGGGGGGGGGTGTTGGGGGTAAGGGGGGGGGGGTAAGGGGGGGGGTTTTGGGGGGTAAGGGGGGGGTTGGGGTAAGGGGGGGGGGGGGGGTAAGGGGGGGGGGAAAGGGGGGGGGGGTTGGGGTTAAGGGGGGGGGTTGGGGTAAGGGGGGGGGGTTGGGGTAAGGGGGGGGTTGGGGTAAGGGGGGGGTTGGGGAAAGGGGGGGGGTTTTGGGGTGGGGGGGGGGGGGGTTGGGGGGGGGGGGGGTTTGGGGTAAGGGGGGGGGTTGGGGGTAAGGGGGGGGGGTTGGGGTAAGGGGGGGGTTGGGGTAAGGGGGGGGGGGTGGGGGGGGGGTGGGTTGGGGAAGGGGGGGGGGGTTTGGGGGTAAGGGGGGGGTTGAGAAAGGGGGGGTGTGTTTGGTTGTAAGGGGGGGGGGGGTTTTTTTAAGGGGGGGGGGGTTGGGGTAAGGGGGGGGGTTGGGGAAAGGGGGGGGTTGGGGTAAGGGGGGGGGGGGGGTAAGGGGGGGTGTTGGGGAAGGGGGGGTGGGTTGGGGAAAGGGGGGGGGTGGGTAAGGGGGGGGGTTGGGGTAAGGGGGGGTGTTGGGGTAAGGGGGGGGGTTGGGGGTAAGGGGGGTTTTGGGTAAGAGGGGGGGGGGTTTGGGTTGGGGTAAGGGGGGGGGGGGGGGTAAGGGGGGGGGGGGTTGGGTTGGGGTAAGGGGGGGGGGTGGATTGCAACTTTAAAGTGGAAGAATATGAGGGAAAGTTCCTCAAAAAAATGATTGTACCCATTAGACTTTTAAATCTGCAAAATTTAAGGGTTTCCCCCAAGCAGGTTTTTAAAAACCCCTCGGGACCCCCGACTAAAAAAAAAAATTTAATTTAAAAAGCTAGCCCTGAACCCAACCCCACCTGATGAAGTAGTCCAGGGTTGATGATTTGTTGACCAGTTTAATCAGGGAAGCTAGCTGTGGAAAATTAAAATTTTCAGGAACGCTGGGGGTCCCCGAGAAGTGTCTGAAAAACCGCCCCCCAACGAGTGGGGAGTTTATGGATGAAGGGAAACCCGTCTTAGATTTTTATTCATCCAGTTTTCCCCTCCTCTCCTGTACCACCCTCCTTTCTCTGGGCCGGTGGTGACCTCTTTACCTTTAGGGAGGGGGAAAAAAAGAAACAGCACCCCCTCTTCTCTGTTTATATTAGCAAAAATCCAATTTTAACCTGGGAAAAAAGGAGGAAGAAGATAGGAAGGTTACTTCAATGTCCACTAATGTCCAACGGTGACCAGGGGAAAGGAGATTTAAGCCTAGGTTTTGGTTTTAGAATCTATAAAAAGACACGCCCCAATACATGTTCCTTGTCACGTTGAACATGATGATGATGATGATGATGATGTGGGCCTTGGAAAGCATCGAGGACATCTAAAGGGTTGTGTGAATAAGTGTTAACTCTTGGCCTGGGAAAAGATTGAGGGTTCAAAATATGCAGGGTACTACAGTTTGTAAAAGGTAGCATGACAGCTCTTTAAGACCCGGGGCCCCGTTCAAAAACATCAGTTTTGGAGTTTAAAAGGGGGTGTTTTGGGTTTCATGTCTAAAAAATCCACAAAATCTTTTGTCTAGCCCTTTTGCATTGCCTGGGACTTCACCCCCAATTAAGACCCACGCCATTTTCACTTTGCTCGCAGAGATAAGGGGGAGGAGGAGGAGGGAGGGGGGGGGGGGGGAGGTGGTGGGGGGGGAGGATGGGGGGGGAGGGAGGAGGAAGGAGGAGGGGGGGAGGGGGGGGAGGTGGGGAGGGGGGGGGGGGGAGGGGGGAGGAGGAAAAGGGGGAGGGAGGAGGGGGGGAGGTGGTGGGGGGAGGAGGGGTTGGAGGAGGGAGGAGGGGTTGGGGGAGGGAGGAGGGGGGGGAGGGGGGGAGGGGTGGGGAGGGAGGAGGGGGGTTTGGGGGAGGGAGGGGAGGAGGGAGGAGGGGGAGGAGGGAGGGGAGGAGGGAGGGGGGGAGGGGGGAGGGGGGGGGGGGAGGGGGGAGGGGGGTTGGGGGGGGGAGGAGGGAGGGGGGGAGGGGGGGGTTTGGGGGAGGAGGGAGGAGGGGGTTGGGGGGGGGGAGGGGGGGAGGGGGAGGGGGGGGGGTTGGGGAGGGGGAGGGAGGAGGGGTTTGGGGGGGGGGAGGGAGGGGAGGAGAGGGGGGGTGGAGGAGGGAGGGGGTGGAGGAGGGGAGGAGGGGGGGGAGGAGGGGGGGGGAGGGGAGGGGGGAGGAGGGGTTGGAGGGGGGGGGAGGGGGGGGAGGAGGGGTTGGGGGGGGGGGAGAGAGGAGGGGTTGGGGAGGGAGGAGGGAGGAGGGGGGAGGTGGGGAGGAGGGAGGAGGGGTTGGAGGAGGGAGGAGGGGGGGGAGGAGGGGGAGGAGGGGGGAGGAGGGAGGGGAGGAGGGAGGGGGGGGGGGGGGGGAGGAGGGGGGAGGGGTTGGGGGAGGGAGGAGGGGGGGGGGGGGGGAGGGGGGGGGGGAGGGGTTTGGGGGAGGGAGGAGGGAGGGGGGGGGGGGGGGGGGGGGGGAGGGGGAGGGGGGGGGGAGGGAGGGGGGAGGGAGGAGGGGGGGGGAGGGAGGAGGGAGGAGGGGGGGGGGGGGAGGGGGGAGGAGGGGAGGGGGTTGGAGGGGGAGGAGGGAGGGGAGGAGGGGGGGGGGGGGAGGAGGGAGGGAGGGGTTGGGGAGGGAGGAGGGGGGAGGGGGGAGGTGGGGGGAGGGGAGGAGGGGTTGGAGGGGGAGGGGGAGGGGGGAGGGGGGGGGTGGAGGGGAGAGAGGGGGGGTTGGAGGAGGGAGGAGGGAGGAGGGGGAGGGGGGGAGGGGGGGGGGGGTGGGGAGGGGGGAGGGGGAGGGGGAGGGGAGGGGGGGAGGGGGGGGGGGGGTGGAGGAGGGGGGGGGGTTTGGGGGGGGGAGGGGAGGAGGGAGGGGGGGTTTGGGGGAGGGAGGGGGGGGGGTTGGGGGGGGGGAGGGAGGGGGGGAGGGAGGAGGGGTTGGAGGGGGGAGGAGGGAGGGGGAAGGGGGGAGGGGGTGGAGGAGGGAGGAGGGAGGGGAGGAGGGGTTGGAGGGGGGGGAGGGGAGGGGGGGTTGGAGGAGGGAGGGGGGAGGGGGGGGGAGGGGGGGGAGGGGTTGGGGGGGGAGGAGGGAGGGGAGGGGGGGGGTGGGGAGGGGGGAGGGGGGGTTGGAGGGGGAGGGGGGAGGGGAGGGGGGGGGGAGGGGGTGGAGGGGGGAGGAGGGGTTGGAGGAGGGAGGGGGGGGGAGGAGGGGAGGAGGGGTGGAGGAGGGGTTTGGGGGGGGGAGGGGGGAGGGGAGGAGGGGAGGGGGGTTGGAGGGAGGGGGAGGGGGGGGGGGGTTGGGGGGGGGAGGAGAGAGGAGGGGTTGGAGGAGGGGGGGGGGAGGAGGGGGGGGGAGGAGGGAGGAGGGGTTTTGGGGGGGGGGGGAGAGAGGAGGGGGTGGAGGGGGAGGGGAGGGGGGAGGGAGGAGGGGTTTTTGGGGGGGGGGGAGGAGAGAGGAGGGGTTGGAGGAGGGAGGGGGGAGGGGGAGGAGGGAGGAGGGGGGGGGGGGAGGTGGGGGATGAGGCAGGAGGGGCTGGGGGGAGGGAATAGGCTTCCACTTGGGGGCTCCCACCAATCCCCGGGGGTTAAACCCAAATCCCCGAAAACCAAAATGCCCGGGAAAACCCAATCCCCTAAAAACCCAAATGCCCTTTTAAAACCAATGCCCTGAAAAACCCAAGGCCCGGGAAACCCCCAATTTGCCCTGAAAAACCAATGCCCCTGAAACCCAAGCCCTGTAAACCCATTTGCTAGGGTTCCCAGTTTATTTTGGTAGCTTGTATACTGCTTTACTGTGTCATCACAGTTTTGTAGTTTTGAAACCCTCTCAGTTTTTAAGTATTTTTTTTCATTCCAGTGGCAAAATTAAAAATTTTGGGTTTCTGTGCAGTGAAATTCAGTAGCCCTTGATTAAATTCACGTTTGACCTAGAATTTTCATGTTAGGGGACACCCCATGTATTTACACGTTGGTACCCAGAGTAATTTCCCCGTTTGGCTACAAGCTTTTTTTTTTTTACAAAGTTGGCTACACAGCATGGAATTAAAAGGGTTGGCTACACGGGATGTCATTTAACGTTAGGCTACCAGCATGTCATTTTTTAAAGTTGGTAACCCGCATGTCATTAACACGTTTGGTACACAGAAAGTCATTAAAACCCGTTAGGCTACACAGCATGTCATTTACACGTTAGGCTAACGGGGATGTCATTAACACGTTTGGGGTACACGGCCCTGTCATTAAAAACGTTGGTACCCCCACATGTCATTTACACTTAGGCTACCCCCCATTTTCATTAACACGTTAGGCACACAGCATGTCATTTTTCACGTTAGGTACACAGAAGGGCATTTAAACGTTGGCTTTCAAAATTCATTTTAAAACGTTAAAAGGGTTTCCCCAGCAGTCATTTTTCACGTTAGGTACCAGCATGTAAATTTTAAAAGTTAGGCTACACAGCATGTCATTTACACGTTGGGCCCTACACAGCATGTAATTTAAACGTTAGGCTACACAGCATGTCATTTACACGTTAGGCTACACAGCATGTCATAACACGTTAGGCTACACAGCATGTCATTACACGTTAGGCTACACAGCATGGTCATTTACACGTTAGGCTACACAGCATGTCATTTACACGTTAGGCTACACAGCATGTCATTAACACGTTAGGCTACACAGCATGTCATTTACACGTTAGGCTACACAGCATGTCATTAACACGTTAGGCTACACAGCATGTCATTAACACGTTAGGCTACACAGCATGTCATTTACACGTTAGGCTACACAGCATGTCATTTACACGTTAGGCTACACAGCATGTCATTTACACGTTAGGCTACACAGCATGTCATTAACACGTTAGGCTACACAGCATGTCATTAACATGTTAGGCTACACAGCATGTCATTTACACGTTAGGCTACACAGCATGTCATTTAAACGTTAGGCTACACAGCAAGTCATTTACACGTTAGGCTACACAGCATGTCATTTACACGTTAGGCTACACAGCATGTCATTTACACGTTAGGCTACACAGCATGTCATTTACACGTTAGGCTACACAGCATGTCATTTACACGTTAGGCTACACAGCATGTCATTTACACGTTAGGTACACAAGCATGTCATTTACAACGTTAGGCTACACAGCATGTCATTTACACGTTAGGCTACACAGCATGTCATTTACACGTTAGGCTACACAGCATGTCATTTACACGTTAGGCTACACAGCATGTCATTTTGATGGGGATCATATTGACACAGCAAACAATTCTAACCCAAGCAATTTATAGTACAGTGAGTGCATACATTATTTGATCCCTGTGGAAATTGAACCGACAACCTTAGTGTGGCTGTAGTGAGTGTGTAGTTGCTGATGTATCTTGTCTCACCCTGAGAAGCTGGTCCCCTTCCTCCAGTCCCTCCTTAGCTGCTGGGCTATCCTCCAGGACTCCTGCTACAAAGATGCCCACATCGTTCCCCCCTGCCAGCCTAGCCCCACACTCTCCCCCTTTTTTAAATTTACCAGTTTAAATTGGCCCTGGGGAGTGAGGCACAGGGTGGGAGGGGGAAAAAAAAAAGACATTTTAAAGCCCTTTTAAAGACCGCTAAAGCCCTTTAAAAGAGGGTTTTTTAAAGACGTTCAAGACAGTTCAAGCGTAAAGACGCTAAGCAGTTAAAGACAGTTAAAGACTGTTGAAGACGGTTAAAGAACGTTAAAGAGGGTTTTTAAAGCAGTTAAAGCAGTTAAAGACCTTTTAAAGCCCGTTAAAGCCCGCAAAAGGGCAGTTATGGCATTTATAGGCAGTTAAGGGCCCCTCTGTAAATTTTTCTTTTGGTCACCCAAAAAATAGACTTCTAAAATGGTACCCCCTTCAAGTCAAGGTCAAAGGGGTTTTGTCCCTTCTGGAATTCATTTTTTTAATTTTTTTGTCATTTAGCAGACGCTTTTATCCAGAGCATTTTTACAGGAGAAATTTGGGGGAAAGTGCCTTGTAAGGGCACACGACAGTTTTTTCAATAGTCGGCGGGGATTGAACCAGCGACCTTTGGTTACGGGCACAACGCTCTTAACCACTAAGTCCCGCCCCCCCTATTTATTGAGTCCCCTGCCAAGATCATTGAATTTTAAAAACTTTATTTGTCGAAATATGGCCGGACGGGAGGTTGGGGGGGTACCGTACCGTAGGTTAGTTAGAGACAGGTGAATAGCATTTAATACCGTAGAATGTGTATCAGGGCAGGTGGGAACAGGGGCCGAGGGGCTGACTGGCGGGGTCCACATGGGTGGCTGGCTGGGCAATATCTTGGGCTTGAAACACAACAACATAACTGTACGGTTGGTGCTGTTACAAACCCATCACTTTTACCCAAGAGAGTGAAGGATGTCCCGATGGACGCAGGTTTAGAGACCATCTAGCCTTCACACTCACCTAATTAACACACGGGTATGAGGGAAATATAAAGGTAAAAAATGTGTGTGCCCTGTCTCACATCCCCACACACACACACACACACACACAACCACACACACACACACACACACACAACACACCACACACAAAACACACACACACACACACACCCACACAACACACACACACACACACACACACACACACACCAACACAGTACATTGTGTCCTGAGCTGGGAGGTCATAGAGACATGCAGCAGGCTGCTGGCTGCAGGGCAGGAGGAGAAACGTCAGAGTCCATCAAGTCACACTGTTTATAACCAACTAACTCTAGGCTGGCAGCCTCAGCCCAGCTCAGCACGCACATAGCAGTGTCAGCATAGCAAGCTTTTAGATGTAACCTTGGTAGCTAGGCTATAACAGTTTTATGGCTTAAAGGGGCAATCTGCTGTTCAAACAATAACAAAGTGACACCCTGCCACTGTTTTGGTAAAAAGCAGAGTGATGGGGATGGAGAAATGTACCCACTCTCAGATTAACAGACAGAGCTGTGGATGCAAGGACTGACCATCCATGATATCAATTTGATATACACTACCGTTCAATGGTTTGTGGTCACTTAGAAATGTCCTTGTTTTCGAAAGAAAAGCAATTTTATTGTCCATTAAAATAAAATAAAATAGATCAGAAATACAGTCGCGGTCAAAAGTTTTGAGAATGACACAAGTATTGGTCTTCACAAAGTTCGCTGCTTCAGTGTTATGAGATATTTTTGTCAGATGTTACTATGGTATACTGAAGTATAATTACAAGCATTCCATAAGTGTCAAAGGCTTTTATTGACAATTACATTAAGTTTATGCAAAGAGTCAATATTTGCAGTGTTGACTCTTCTTTTTCAAGACCTCTGCAATCCGCCCTGGCATGCTGTCAGTTAACTTCTGGGCCACATTCTGACTGATGGCAGCCCATTCTTGCATAATCAATGCTTGGAGTTTGTCAGAATTTGTGGGTTTTTGTTTGTCCACCCGCCTCTTGAGGATTGACCACAAGTCCTCAATGGGATTAAGGTCTGGGGAGTTTCCTGGCCATGGACCCAAAATGTTGATGTTTTGTTCCCCGAGCCACTTAGTTATCACTTTTGCCTTATGGCAAGGTGCTCCATCATGCTGGAAAAGGCATTGGTCGTCACCAAACTGTTCTTGGATGGTTGGGAGAAGTTGCTCTCGGAGGATGTGTTGGTACCATTCTTTATTCATGGATGTGTTCTTAGTCAAAATTGTGAGTGAGCCCACTCCCTTGGCTGAGAAGCAACCCCACACATGAATGGTCTCAGGATGCTTTACTGTTGGCATGACACAGGACTGATGGTAGCGCTCACCTTGTCTTCTCCGGACAAGGTGTTTTCCGGATGCCCCAAACAATCTGAAAGGGGATTCATCAGAGAAAATGACTTTACCCCAGTCCTCAGCAGTCCAATCCCTGTACCTTTTGCAGAATATCAGTCTGTCCCTGATGTTATTCCTAGAGAGAAGTGGCTTCTTTGCTGCCCTTCTTGACACCAGGCCATCCTCCAAAAGTCTTTGCCTCACTGTGCGTGCAGATGCACTCACACCTGCATGCTGCCATTCCTGAGCAAGCTCTGGTGGTGCCCCGATCCCGCAGCTGAATCAACTTTAGGAGACGGTCCTGGCGCTTGCTGGACATTCTTGGGCACCCTGATGCCTTCTTCACAACAATTGAACCTCTCTCCTTGAAGTTCTTGATGATCCGATAAATGGTTGATTTAGGTGCAATCTTACTAGCAGCAATATCCTTGCCTGTGAAGCCCTTTTTGTGCAAAGCAATGATGACGGCACATGTTTCCTTGCAGGTAACCATGGTTAACAGAGGAAGAACAATGATTTCAAGCACCACCCTCCTTTTAAAGCTTCCAGTCTGTTATTCTAACTCAATCAGCATGACAGAGTGATCTCCAGCCTTGTCCTCGTCAACATTCTCACCTGTGTTAACGAGAGAATCACTGACATGATGGCAGCTGGTCCTTTTGTGGCAGGGCTGAAATGCAGTGGAAATGTTTTTTTGGGGGATTAAGGTCATTTTCATGGCAAAGAGGGACTTTGCAATTAATTGCAATACATCTGATCACTCTTCATGACATTCTGGAGTATATGCAAATTGCCATCATCAAAACTGAGGCAGCAGACTTTGTGAAAATTAGTATTTGTGTCATTCTCAAAACTTTTGACCACAACTGTACAGTGTAGACATTGTTAATGTTGTAAATGGCTATTGTAGCTGGAAACTGCTGATTTTTAATGGAATATCTACATAGGCGTACAGAGGCCCATTATCAGCAACCATCAGTCCTGTGTTCCAATGGCACGTTGTGTTTGCTAATCCAAGTTTATCATTTTAAAAGGCTAATTGATCATTACAAAATCCTTTTGCAATTATGTTAGCACAGCTGAAAACTGTTGTGCTGATTAAAGAAGCAATAAAACTGGCCTTCTTGAGACTAGTTGAGTATCTGGAGCATCAGCAATTGTGGGTTCGATTACAGGATCAAAATGGCCAGAAACAAATAACTTTCTTCTGAAACTCGTCAGTCTATTCTTGTTCTGAGAAATGAAGGCTATTCCATGCGAGAAATTGCCAAGAAACTGAAGATCTCGTACAACGCTGTGTACAACTCCCTTCACAGAACAGCGCAAACTGGCTCTAACCAGAATAGAAAGAGGAGTGGGAGGCTCCGGTGCACAACTGAGCAAGAGGACAAATACATTAGAGTGTCTAGTTTGAGAAACAGACGCCTCACAGGTCCTCAACTGGCAGCTTCATTAAATAGTACCCGCAAAACACCAGTCTCAACTTCAACAGTGAAGAGGCGACTCCGCGATGCTGACCTTCTAGGCATAGTTGCAAAGAAAAAGCCATATCTCAGACTGGCCAATAAAAATAAAAGATTAAGCTTGGCAAAAGAACACAGACACTGGACAGAGGAAGATTGGGAACAAAAAGTTATGGACAGACGATTCAAAGTTTGAGGTGTTCGGATCACAAAGAAGAACATTTGTGAGACGCAGACCAAATGAAAAGACGCTGGAGGAGTGCTTGATGCCATCTGTCAAGCATGGTGGAGGCAATGTGATGGTCTGGGGGTGCTTTGGTGGTGGTAAAGTGGGAGATTTGTACAGGGTAAAAGGGATCTTGAAGAAGGAAGGCTATCACTCCATTTTGCAATGCCATGCCATACCCTGTGGACGGCGCTTGATTGGAGCCAATTTCCTCCTACAACAGGACAAAGCACAGCTCCAAACTATGCAAGAACTATTTCGGGAAGAAGCAGTTAGCTGGTATTCTGTCTATAATGGAGTGGCCAGCACAGTCACCGGATCTCAACCCTATTGAGCTGTTGTGGGAGCAGCTTGACCGTATGGTACGTAAGAAGTGCCCATCAAGCCAATCCAACTTGTGGGAGGTGCTTCAGGAAGCATGGGGTGAAATCTCTTCAGATTACCTCAACAAATTGACAACTAGAATGCCAAAAGGTCTGCAAGGCTGTAATTGCTGCAAATGGAGGATTCTTTGACGAAAGCAAAGTTTGAAGGACACAATTATTATTTCAATTTAAAAAAAAACATTATTTCTAACCTTGTCAATGACTACATTTCCTATTCATTTTGGCTATATTTCCTATTCAAACTCATTTCATGTATGTTTTCATAGAAAACAAGGACATTTCTAAGTGACCCCAAACTTTTGAAGTGTGTATGTATATATATATATATATATATATATATATATATATATATATATATATATATATATATATATATATATATATATATATATATATATATATATATATATTTAAGCTATACAGTTTGTGTTTATAATGACATTGTTTACAAGCAATAGAGTAAAACAAACTTATATGTTGGGTTCTGATTGGGTACAACAGTTGAACTAAGTTCATGAGTAGGGTTGCAAAGATACCGGTAATTTACCAAAGTTACCGGAATCTTCTGCAATTTTGGTAACCTGGGTAATTTATACTTGAATAACTTTTTTAAAAAATGTATTCATATATAGTATTAGTTTTGTATATCTGTGTCCATATTGTCCATGAGTTTCTAGTGGATAGACAACATGGTTCAAGAGAAAATAGCCAAATTAATGAAAAAAGTATCTAAATCAACAATGGTATTATTTTCAATTAAAGTCTTCCGACTATTGACCAGTTTGGCGACAAAAACATTTACAACAAAGACATATTGACATAGTAAAATAAATACAAGTGTATGGTTTATATTTAGAATAATGATTTACAGCTTTGTCATAATGTTTTACATTTTAAAATCATCGTATTGTATTATTTTATATATTTGGCCAGAGATACACACCTGTGATAATCTGAAGTACCCAAAAAGGCCACTAGATGTAATAAAAGAAAACTCATTTTGGTAGTTTACTGGTAAACGTTGAACGTTTTCAGTAATATACCCTCCATTTGCAACCCTACTCATACGGCATGTATAAGTTATATTCTTCAAGAATCAATAGGTATATAAAATGAATTTAAAAGTCCAAAAATTGATGTAGCAATCACAGATTGCCCCTTTAAAGTGTCTTCCTCAAGGGCACAAAGGCAGGGAGCATCTAGGATACCTAGAATCCCACCAGATTGTTTCATGTTTGACTTGGGATTTGAACCGGCGGTTTTCCAGTTGCAAGCTTGCCTCCCCCTAAAAGATTAGTGGTTAGGGGTTTGGTTAGGTCTACCAGTTACTGGCGGTGTTTCTGACCTGGTAGGGGTGGTAGCGGTTTCTCCTCCCTGGTGACCGGCTGCTCCAGGGGCTTGGGCAGGGCAGGAAGCTCCTCCGCTAGCTTGCCTGGTACCGCTGTCGGCTTCGAGATCCTCTCCTCCTCACGACTTCTGTGACTGGAGACCCCCCCCCCCCAAAAAAGGGACCTTTTAGTTGTTGTTTTTGTTTAATACATTTCATGCATTTGCTAGGTGATCCCTGCGGGAATTGAAACCAGGAACTGGCTTGGCATTGTTCGTGCCAAACGCTTAGCAACTGAGCCAACCCAGGACCAGGGATGTGATACAATACAACAAATACTGTACATCTGTATGCTTATAAATACTGTATGCTTCTCAAAAAAAATTAACTGCAGTGGACAACATGTAAAGGCCATAGAGATTAGAAGGAAATAAAATAATAATAATAATAATAATAATTTGTTGGGTGCTTTTATCCGTCCTACTGCAATGTGTTTTTGCATATCCCAACTTCCTGAGACACCCTCAGAGAGTGGGGTCACGGCCAAGGTCTGCCATTATCAATGACAATCCTAGAGCAATTAGGGTTAAGTGCCTTGCTCAAGGGCACCGACAGATTGTTCACCTTGTCAGCTCAGGGATTCGAACTAGCAACATTTGGGTTACTGGCTCAACGCTCTAAATCGCTAGGCTACCTGCCACCTTGTGTGTGGCTGCACTGTGGCCTCGAAGGTCACCGATCTGTGTTTCTCCTCCTTTGTACTCTATTTTTAGAGGCATATCTGAGGTGATGGAGGCGGGGAGGAGAGAGAGAGAGAGAGAGAGAGAGAGGAGAGAGATAGAGGAGAGACTAGAGAGAGCGAGAGAGAGAGAGAGAGATAGATATATAGAGAGAGAGAGAGGATAGAGGATATGAGAGAGAGCTCTATCATCTCGGTCTCCGATCTCTATCCCTCTGCTCTCCTCGTATCTACGCGCTATGCTTCCGCAGGATCTTGCTTCTGTGTACTCCAGGTGCACTTCACTGTGTGCCTCTGGCTGAGAACCAATAAATGTTGGACAAACACAGATTATTAACGCTGAGGTCAGAATGATTCATCCCAAACTGCAACAACCATACAGCCTGGTCCAAGAGATGCTTCTGATGTCTTGCCAATTCCTATTGTCATTTGGCGTGATAATGACCACCATAGGAGTTGGCTATAGAGCATAACTGATCTGGGACAAGGCCAACAAACAGTTTTCTTCAGATGATCACTCACAATAAACATATATTCTGTTTTAAAGTTTTAAGCGGTGAAATCTGTGAAGAAAATCTGTTAAATCAGTGAAATCAGCGTAGAAATCAGTGAGCCTAGGTTCTGTTGTTGGGTAGGAACACAGAGAGAATCAGTTAACCACATGTTCGGTTGTTGGGTTGGAACACAGAGAGAATCAGTTAACCACAGGTTCTGTTGTTGGGTTGGAACACAGAGAGAATCAGTTAACCACAGGTTCTGTTGTTGGGTTGGAACACAGAGAGAATCAGTTAACCACAGGTTCTGTTGTTGGGTTGGAACACAGAGAGAATCAGTTAACCACAGGTTCTGTTGTTGGGTTGGAACACAGAGAGAATCAGTTAACCACAGGTTCTGTTGTTGGGTTGGAACACAGAGAGAATCAGTTAACCACAGGTTCTGTTGTTGGGTAGGGAAACAGGGAACCGAGGTCAGTGATGAGAGGTGTGGTATGGTGGTGCCAGTGCCCTCTAGTCAGAGAGATCAGAAGCATGGAGCAGCTCCAACCTCCCTCCTTACATGACAAAAAATAACTAAAGAAATAGATGATTTATTGTCACATACACTGGGTAGGTGCAGTGAAATGTGTTCTGTTACAGGGTCAGCCATAGTATTACAGCGCCCCTGGAGCAGATTACCACTAACCTTCCGGAACTTACTGAAAAACAACGGTGTATTCACTAATACCCTTTACAGACAGACTTTACAGTATGTTGCCTGTAAAAACACAATTTGGAAATGTTTTTTTTTTTTTTTTCCCAATTCATACAGTCCCATTTGTACCACATTCATGCCGGGTTAAGACTTTTATATCTCCCGTGCACATGCCGGCAACTGTAGGCGTGGGAATAGACGTGGGCCGATGTGGGTGGACATCTATTTGAATAAATCCATTGAATATACATCCATCACAAAGAAGCCCATTATTAATGTGTTTTAGGCCGGTCCTAAGAAACATTATAAGACTAATATAAAATACATTTCCTAAAGAATAGAATGGCTTATTTTGAGTTTGAGTTACGTTCGGAGACTGAGATGGCCATTTCAAAATGTTGATTTTCGGACCCCTCTGTACCTGAACAATAAGTAACTGTAATTTTCCTTGCAGAACGTTCTGCTACTGTGTGCACTAATGATTACGACCCGGGGTCACTCACAGACCAGACCCCCGATAAATCAATCTGCCCTAACCTCTCCTCTCCCCTTTCCCTCTCCTCCCCTCAATAACTCAACTCTACAGTCTCAAACTCACTAAAATCCTTCACAGCCAAAATAGTACTGACTAGATTCCTTAAACATGTCCTCTTCTTCTTTGTGTCTTAACCTGCTATCATGTTCCCACTTTGACCTCACAAGACAAACTGGTGAAACAGGCAATCGCTCACCCACAATCCACAGGGACTAGTGTCACATCAACAGTGAATGACGGCCCGTTGTTAAAAGGCGTTTTGTCCTTGTGTGCCAAACGTGCGCTCTCTCATCACACTCCAAAAAGACGCTAGACACACAGAGTGAGATGGTGTGACAACTTACACAGGGCAGGGACAGTGGCCCTGTTGGAGTCCTGAGACAGAACAAGACCCGGCCCTCAATAACTGATGTACAGCATGTGCCGTGTGTGTGACAGTGTAAAACCATGACTGTTAACTGAGCACTGATTTCCTGATATCAGCCTCACTGTCAAACATAAAGGATTCCTAAAAAATTTATCACATTCAAAAACACACACACCCACGTTACTATAACCAGCAGTATTCAGGCCAGAGATGTATTCTTTATTGAAATGGCTTTGATTTAGTGGTTATAGGTCATCCTTATCTGTAGAAAGGGGAGAAATATAGGGGTATTTTGAATTCATCTAAATTCATAAGCTTTATACGATCTACATGGGGTACTAATCCATCTACTAATCTATTCTATGTATGAATCTAGTTACTATTCTGTCAGATACCAAGTACGGTGAGCTCTATACGGTGAGCTCTATACGGTGGGCTCTATACGGTGAGCTCTATACGGTGGCCTCTATACGGTGGCCTCTATGCGGTGGCCTCTATGCGGTGGCCTCTATGCGGTGGCCTCTATGCGGTGGCCTCTATGCGGTGGCCTCTATGCGGTGGCCTCTATGCGGTGGCCTCTATGCGGTGGCCTCTATGCGGTGGGCTCTATACGGTGGGCTCTATACGGTGGGCTCTATGCGGTGGGCTCTATGCGGTGAGCTCTATACGGTGGCCTCTATACGGTGGCCTCTATACGGTGGCCTCTATACGGTGGCCTCTATACGGTGGCCTCTATACGGTGGCCTCTATACGGTGGCCTCTATACGGTGGGCTCTATACGGTGGGCTCTATGCGGTGGGCTCTATACGGTGAGCTCTATACGGTGGGCTCTATACGGTGAGCTCTATACGGTGGGCTCTATACGGTGGCCTCTATACGGTGGGCTCTATGCGGTGGGCTCTATACGGTGGGCTCTATGTGGTGGGCTCTATACGGTGGGCTCTATGCGGTGAGCTCTATGCGGTGGGCTCTATGCGGTGGGCTCTATGCGGTGGGCTCTATACGGTGACCTCTATACGGTGGGCTCTATACGGTGGGCTCTATACGGTGGGCTCTATACGGTGAGCTCTATACGGTGGCCTCTATACGGTGGGCTCTATACGGTGGGCTCTATACGGTGGGCTCTATACGGTGGGCTCTATGCGGTGAGCTCTATGCGGTGGGCTCTATACGGTGGGCTCTATGCGGTGGGCTCTATACGGTGGGCTCTATGCGGTGGGCTCTATACAGTGGGCTCTATGCGGTGAGCTCTATGCGGTGGGCTCTATGGCCTCTATACGGTGGCCTCTATGCGGTGGCCTCTATGCGGTGGGCTCTATACGGTGGGCTCTATACGGTGAGCTCTATACGGTGAGCTCTATACGGTGGGCTCTATACGGTGGGCTCTATACGGTGGGCTCTATACGGTGGCCTCTATACGGTGGCCTCTATACGGTGGCCTCTATACGGTGGCATCTATACGGTGGGCTCTATGCGGTGGGCTCTATACGGTGGGCTCTATGCGGTGGGCTCTATACGGTGGGCTCTATACGGTGGGCTCTATACGGTGGGCTCTATACGGTGGGCTCTATGCGGTGGGCTCTATACGGTGGGCTCTATGCGGTGGGCTCTATACGGTGGGCTCTATGCGGTGGGCTCTATGCGGTGGCCTCTATACGGTGGGCTCTATACGGTGGGCTCTATACGGTGGGCTCTATGCGGTGGGCTCTATGCGGTGGGCTCTATGCGGTGGGCTCTATACGGTGGGCTCTATGCGGTGGGCTCTATGCGGTGGGCTCTATACGGTGGGCTCTATGCGGTGGGCTCTATGCGGTGGGCTCTATGCGGTGGGCTCTATGCAGTGGGCTCTATGCGGTGGGCTCTATACGGTGGGCTCTATACGGTGGGCTCTATACGGTGGGCTCTATGCGGTGGGCTCTATACGGTGGGCTCTATATGGTGGGCTCTATACAGTGAGCTCCTAGGGAAAGGGCTGTCCAACTTACGGTATTCTCCAACTGAAGTGTCTTTGTTAAGGGGGCAAAAAACTAAAACAGGACAATAAAGACAATTAACAAAACCTTAAAAACATCTCAGTTTTCAGCGTCAAAACTGTTCGAAATGTTTTGCCCACTCGTTTAGAATGTCAAAGCAGCGCAAAGGCTGCCTTTACACAGGCAGGCCCAATTCTGATATTTTGCTCAAATATTGGCAAAAGATCTGATCTGATGGGTCATAAGACCAATTAGTGGAAAAATATCAGAATTGGTCTGCCTGTGTAAACGCAGCCAAAGAGCCTTTGAGTTCTACTGCAGGGTTTGTTCTGGATCGAAAAGGGGCTCAGGTGGTGGGAGTGAATTTTAGAGGGCCCCATCTAGAGACAGTTTCCTGCTATTCTAGAAATTTCTCCATGGAGCTGAGAGAAACTGTTGCAGTTTTATAGCTAATTTCCTGTAATTCCACATTTATAGCTCCATTATATTATCTACATACTTTATATCTGGTTTTAGTCGTTTAAGTTTACATTGAAAGCGTTCTTCCATCCTGAAAACGTACGTACATTGAATACGTTTAGGCCCGAGGATTACAACGGCAGAGAGATCAGTGTACTGTGCAGCCAGGTGTTGTGGTGTTTACCTGCCGTTGCTGATCTGTGGAGGGGAGGGTCTGGAGTGGTCGGAGGGTTCAGAGCGCCTGTCAGGGGAGCGGGAACGGCTGCTACGATGTCTGTCATGGGATCGGTTGGAATGGTCGGACGCCACCGAATGGATATCTGAAATGTCTGTTGTTCAAACACAAAAAAAATTAAAATAATATTCAACAACATATGAATAATCTAATGATGCCATTTAGCAGATACTTTCAACCAAAGTGAATAACGGTCATGTGTGCATACATTTAACATATGGGTGGTCCTGGAATATGAAAGTACATGTTGTTGTGTATTTCAACTTTGACGGGGCTTTCCCTTTCAGCACAATGTATGTACACCCACGACCCTACAGCATTTACCCTTTTCCAGCATTACGAAACAACGCACGCGCACGCGCACGCGCACGCGCACGCACACGCACACGCACACGCACACGCACACGCACACGCACACGCACACACACGCACACGCACACACACACACACACACACACACACACACACACACACACACACACACACACAGCTATGTAGTGTCCCTCACCATCTCTGTCGGAGGCGTTGGCTGATGGGATGCTGTCGTCCAGGTCTGGTATGTTCAGCAGCGTAGCTCTCTCGTCTCTCTGCACCACCATCTTCAGCTTGCCCTTTGACCTCTCAATCAGCTTCTTAGCGTCTATCAACGACAGGTTCTCTGTCACCGTGCCGTTGATCTGAGAGGAAATAACCAATTAGTTACAAATGGCAAGAAATAACTCAAATATACAGAGCTTGGAGAAAACAACCAATTAGCTTGTCTGTGTGCAGGAGATAGTGAGGAATAACATATGTTTATCTGATTACAGAACAATGTGCTAAATCCATCATCCTCATTCCATTACTTCTCCTCTTCTCTCCTTCCTTACCTTCAGTATTGTACTACGAAGGATTTTTCCGTCCCCAACTTCCTTATTCTCCCCCCTCTCCCTCCCTCCTCCCCTCCCTCCCTACGCTCACCTTCAGTACTACGTCTGCTTAGTGGTTAAGAGCGTTGTGCCAGTAACCGAAAGGTCGCTAGTTCTAATCCCCGAGCCGACTAGGTGAAAAATCTGTCGATGTGCCCTTGAGCAAGGCACTTAACCCTAATTGCTCCTGTAAGTCGCTCTGGATAAGAGCGTCTGCTAAATGACGTAAATGTAAATGTATGTTTCCGTCCCCGACTTCCTTATTCTCCCCCCTCTCCCTCCCTCCCTCCTCCCCTCCCTCCCTACTCTCACCTTCAGTACTACGTCTCCCTCCTGTATGTTTCCGTCCCCGACTTCCTTATTCTCCCCCCTCTCCCTCCCTCCTCCCCTCCCTCCCTACTCTCACCTTCAGTACTACGTCTCCCTCCTGTATGTTTCCGTCCCTGGCCGCCAGGCTCTCGGGGGAGATGTCCTTCACGAAGATGTGGCTGGCCAGGCGAAGGCCATATTCTGCTTACGGAGTGAACGAACAGCAACAGAGATAGTGTTAGCATAGCATAGTATAGCATGTGTCGTGTATTGAGATTATGACTATTTTGGAGGAACAAGGAATGTTGTTTAGGTTAGTATCAGAAGGCAATGTTTTAGGTGTAATACCACATACCACCGACAGGAGGTGGGTTGTAGACAGGGGAGACTGGTGATTGGCCAGAAGAGGGGGCATCATTGTTTATAAATAGGGGGGAAAATGACGGAGAGGTTAGAGCAAGCAGCCATTCTGAGGCGTCTCTCCGGGTGTCATGTCACCTGTTACTCATGCTGAAGCTTGTGATCTGAATAAACCTTATGATCGACGTTCAGTATGAGCAGACTCCTTGATTGACGGTAACACCTACGAATAACATACACTACAAATGGAGGCACCGCTGAGATATTGATTGCATCGTTATTGGTCCCTTTCCTGGATTCGCGAGTTGACTACTGTTTAAGCCGGCTAAAGGTGAGATTATTCACAAACTTTGGACACTAGTCATTTCGTTGATTGGGGAGAGGGCTTTGACGGTGCACAGTTAAAAGTACTTGGGTCGTTATTGAGGTATGGTGTTGCTGTTAACTGGGAGTCTGAACGAAAATATTTTAAATTTGGTTGATGTGTAAACGCTGTTTACAACAATGGATTGTACAAATTGATTGGTAGAGAATATATGTTGGGAGATATCTGCATAATTAGGGCACCGGGAATACGGAAAAGACCTCGAAACGAGGCGACTTGTAATAATAATTATTATTATTATTAAGTGGGCTACAAATCCTGTGTGAAGTGTTAGGCTTTGGCAGGTTGATTTCTTAAGCGGGAATTATGAAGTGAATGGTTGTAGCTATGTTATACTCCTCCTCTGGTCGACGGGAAATTGGTTTGGGGATAACCGCTTGATATGAGATTCATCTTTCAAGGCAGCATAAAGTTAGACGGGGAGAATTGGACGATTATTTATTTGGCCACGGTGCAGGATATTGATTTGTGTAGTAGGCTGCTGTTGGCTAGAGGCTGAAGCTAAGGCTGGATTGTTTCAGGCCACGTGGTGCCTCGTTGCTAAGGCTTGATTGTATGGTTCGGGTCACGTGGTACATCGTGGCGAAATGCTAATTGCTAATTTTTGAGGCTAAAGTGTGAATCATGCTACATCATGGTGGCTGGATGCTAGTGCTAATTGTGTTTTGTGTCACGATGTACCGTAGGCTAAGCTAACTGCTAAGGTTGAATGCTAATTGTGTTGTGGGCTATATGCTAACGGATATCCTTAGAGATTCCGTTGCGACGGGTGAAAGTCTCTTAAACTTGTTTATGTGTTTGTAAGTCAGGTTATATGTTTTGTGAGCGCTGGTAAATGTTGTTTGATTATAAGGGGGAAATGGGAATTACAGCTGGACTGTTATTATGTTTGGGGAGAGAGAAGAGAGAATCTTTCTTCCACGGTGAAAAGTATTTTGAATGGTTATGCGCATGCGTTTAATTTTGCGACACTACACTACAGAAAGGGGGAGTTTATGACACGAGATTATGACACGTTTTGGTTTACGGCACTAAATCTTCGACATGCGGTCGTGCTGAGGCGACGGAACAAAATGGTGGGCCAGTACGGTCATGTGATTGTTTCAGGCTTCTTTTCAGGGGTAAGGGCTACCGGAAAAGGTGAACACGACTCTTTTAAAATTATTAGAGTAACTGTTATGTGAACGTTAAACTATTTGGCGAGATGTAGTACATTTATAGATCAAATATATGTTGACGGAGTATAATTAATTAAAATAAGACTATTAAAATTAAATGAAATGGTTTGGAGCGATCTATTTAGTAAATGATATTTGCGCATGCGTGGGATTCTGCAAAACAACACATTGGTTAAACTGCAGACAGAGGAACACAGACGACGGAACAAATAGGCACAGGGAGAGTTTAACACGAGTATTCTAGTTTAAAGATTGGTTAAAGATGAAACTTGTTTTGTAGCCTATTGAATTTATAAATTAGATATATGGTAGCGGATCATAATACATTTAATTGAATAATTAAATAACGGATTAAAATAAAATAAAAAGGTTTTTGGGCGATCTATTTAGTCCTGATTAAGTTTACAGTGAATCATGTGAACAACGAAAAAAT